TATGTGACTTGTTGGGGTGTAGGCTTAGGCTGGTGGTGGGGAATCTTCACTAGAGGTCGGCCGGACAGTAGGGTCATCATCTACCCTCCTAATTACTATATTACCGGATACATAAACCCCTGACGGCCCAAGTGTCACGTGTGCTGTATGGTATCTGGTGGACTCTGGGAACAGACCTGGCTTATGTAATTTAACGCCCAGGTCTTTGGTTGTCTTAAGTCAGGTAGCATTACGTGTTGGAGGTTGTTGAGGAGTCCGGTGGTTGTGTGCTGCCCTTCACATCCGTCATATCTTGGTGAAGCTGTGTGGAGAGGTGGCGGGGACGCTCTAGGAAAGTTGCGAGTCTTCATAACAGAGCCTCCGCCGCCTCCCCCAGCAGTCGCGTGTTGTCCCTGGTGCAAGTCGCACCTGCACGCCGCCCGCCAGCTCGTTGGCCGCTCCCACCAAGAAACGTTATCACCTGACGTAACTATTATAACTCCTTCGTGACCCAGCTACCTTCCCTCTCACCCAACCCCTGGACTTACACAGTACCCACCTGTCACCCGCCTGCTGAACACCTGGACGAGGAGTGCGGATCAGAAGGTGAAGATTGTACCGGAGAGGAGTGACTGCTGCTGTGGTTCACATCGTGATGAAGTTCCCACGAGACCTCGCCATATGGTGAGTCATGTGGCCCTGGGCCCCAACCTCCTGCTGGGGAAGCGGGGAGGGCAAGGGCGCCTGCCTGCCCCCTAACACATTCATCTTGACCAGCACGAAGGTTTGGTCAAGCCTCTGGCCCATAAACACTTAGGAGTTGGTTGTATGTTCATACTTACACAAACTTGCTTCCTTCACACTTACATAACAACGCACTCCATCATGCATGCTTATTATTTTACGTTGACAAACATGCATAAACAATAGGCACAAATATGGTGACGCTCATGTATAACGAAACAGGCATCAATCCTGTCATGTGTGTACACGTGAGTTGTATATTATATCTAACACGTGTTTCTTTCATACATAATAATACTTGACACTCGTTGTCTTGAAAGAAAATGTTGGTTTAAATACCTAAGGGGTGACAGAGCCAGCCGTGTGAAGGTTGTACGAGGTGATGAGGCGCCACACGGTATCAACACTCACGACACACCACTGCCTCATCCCTCACCCTCACACTCTGCACCGGGGTACAGTAGAGGACACCACACAGTTATTAGTTCACCTGCAGCAGGACGTTCAATACGATTCTTCCGGTGGGTAACCTGATACTGCCAGGAAACTGACTCACCTGCCGTGGATCTGTTTTTATATAGAACAAAGTTTCGGCGTTTATTCGGTCAGTAGTTCATGCAGCTGAAGGAAATACACCTGACACGAACTTAATGTTATGTGCGGGAATAGTGTGTCATTGTTATCGTGCACAGTTAACAGGCTCTGAAGCAGCGCCAATCTGGTCTTGGGATGTTGGTGTGAGAAATATGGACAGCGTGTGATCGTGGTATTAAGGACAGTGTGTGTGTGGTGGTCGTGGTAGTAAGGACAATATGTGGTGGTGATTCACACACAATTTATTTTTGGTATTTCAGCTGAGTGCATGAATCATTATTGTGTGTACTGTACGTGTGTTATGTTGTGAGCATTGAACGAGGTCTTAATGATGTTTGTAGATGTAACTGTTGAGTTTTATAGTTTGGGAGTGAATTAGTATTGTGTAAATCATATAGTATTGTGTTAATTTACGATGTTTGTGTGTGTGTGATAGAGAAAATAAAGTTTTAACGCTTAATTAAATATAAAGTAGCCGAAAGTGAGAGAGGGGAGGCGGGGGGAGGTCCAGGCAAAGATAAGCTGATAAGGAATCTTGAACTGTCATCCTTATGTTAAGTATTTAAATAGGATTGCTATAAATCTCTCTCTCTCTCTCTCTCTCTCTCTCTCTCTCTCTCTCTCTCTCTCTCTCTCTCTCTCTCTCTCTCCTTTGTTACAGCGATAAGAGTGAACAACCTCCAACAACTAGTTCTCCCGTTGATTATTATTACCGAGATACGTATAAAGAGTGTGTTGTGTCGCGCTACTGCCAGGGGGTGTGGTGGAAGGGGGTCAGAATCACAACATGAACATCCTCGGACTCGTGACTGTCAGCAACATTACTCAAGGTAATATACCGTAGTATCTTCCTGCTGTCCACCCACCTGATCATAGCAACAACATTATCTCAACAAAAACTGTAACGTCGTAGATAGTATATAGACAAGAAGGTATGGTAGTCAGTCTCCTGTAAACATCAGTGTGGAAAGTGGTCCCTCAGCCGAAATGTTGACTCCTGGTATTCCCCCCACGGGTCATCTCCCACACACAGGGAAAACTTGTTCCTTTCCACCAATTATTAATGAGAAATGAAAGGCGTTGGTTAGATTGTTTTAAACCGTTACCCTGTGTTTTCCTCACGTTTGTTGGGTGGTGGTGGACGTGCGGCGCCCCTTGATGACTGACCGTATCACATCTCATATTACAACCTGATTATCTGGGTTTAATTACTATACTAGGTGTTGTAGTTTTACTTTTATATGTAGTATTTACTTAAGGGGGGGACGTGTTCAGTGTGATGTTGATTTTGTTTTTATTTTAATGTGGAATGAAGGTTTGTTTTTATTTAATATTTTTAGAGATGGTTGGTTTTAGTCTTTGTTTCTGCACCTTCCCTCCTTACCGATGATGTCACCCTTGGCTACTGTAGCTCGACTAACTGGCAGATGTTGGACTTAGTGGTGCATGGTTATGGTGATATAAAGTTGTCATTTAAGGTGCACCAATATGGCAATAACTCCGGGCAATAAACAATGGCAGATGAATTGATTATTTACTTATTTACTTTTCTTTAACTTATTTGCGTGATAGTGTTCAGACACACACACACACACACACACAGTGAACCTTAATCACTAACCCAAGTACATCTTATAAGGGAACTTTTAAAGAGCTTCTTTTTTTTTTACGGGAAAAATATAAATGTGTGTATGTGTGTGGGGGGGGGGGTCACATACTAGGAATATAGAGCAGCACTGAGTTGAGAGGGTCTAGACAAAAGGTGGCCGGGCGGTGTAAGTACACGTGGGACTTGCCCAACAGGGAATTTTCCCGGTTTCCTGCCTCAGGCACCGGAGGAGTCGCAGGAAATGTGAACTTTTGGCTACAATTCCCTAGCCTGTCTCTTACTGGTAATGCTTGTCATAAATACTTAAGAAGAATTTTTTTTTTAAACGAAACACATAATTGGAGATTAACTTGAAATTTCATGGATTAATGGTTACTAAATACTGATGACCTGCTTAACTCTTTAGAAACTTAATGAACTGAACTGAAGATGAATAAAACATATATAACCACTGATACTTATGATGGAGTGACTGAGTAAAGCAAAGATGGATTACTGTATCGGGAACTATTTACCGAATGGCCACCCTAAGTCATGCCGAGGGGAGGAGGCCAGACGCATGTGTAATATCCCTCCTCCATTGGTATGTAATTCACACATTAACAATATTACCTGGAAAAGACATCCATTTACCTGTTAGTGCCCATATAGGAAAATAATAGATAACTTGTGATATGGAGTCGTATTTCTTAACGCTTTAAATCATCTAGTTACAACATAGGGATCTTTTACACTTGCTTACTGTATTGTTATTAAAATTATTATTACATTGTACATTATGTGGGAACTTAAAAAAATCACCTTAATTAAGAAATTTCCCTTTGTATTAAAACCCGATGATTATATTAGATTTATAAATATACTGTTTTACACAAATATAGTGTTGAGTATCGTAAAACAGGTTTAGTATTAGAACATATAGAAAATTATTGTGGTTATCTTGAGGGCGAGAGAGGTGGAACGTTTGGCGATGGGGGTGCCGGTGCTTTGACCATGAAAACTTAAAACTCGAATGCTAGTAGTTATTTAGGTGTCGCTAAATGTGGTCTGATATGATATTAGTACATTTTATTGTTAATTTTACTTGGTATATAATATAAACGTGAGTTTTAGTGTACAGGTAGACTCGCATTGTGATGTTGGACAGTTACCAGGGAGAGGTGTGTTAAGTCCTCTTCATGTCTCACACTGACAATATATTTATATTATCTACACGTTAACAGGCATGGGGCAATTAACATTAAAATTTAACTAGTTAAATTAATTTTCATTTTTACGATTAAGTTAACTAGTTAACTTAAAAGTTATTTAAGTGCCCCCTGCCTATGAGTACGAATGTGTGCTGTACAGGAAAGCTAACGGTGTGGCTGCTTACTCACTGGGCACAAGGGTTTGTGTATTTTACATTACATACTTGTTATTTTTTAAGGAATTATTTTCAAGTTAACTAAGTGACTTAATCGTTAACTGTAGAAGTTAACAATTAATTTAATTAATTGCCCCGTGCCTACAGTTAACTAGCACTATTAATTTTAGATCCTACTTATGCCTCTATCCTTCATTTTCACTTTTCTCACAACATCTCTGTTTTGTTATTTAAAATAAAGTACAGCACTGTAGTATGATTAGTTCATAGGTGAAGCGGTAGACGACAGTTTCGTCCATGTTGAGTAACCATTATACCAAGGTCCTTAAATAAAGGTTTGAGGAATTTGAGTGTATAGAAATGGGTGTGCACGTCACTTAACTGGGTGAATGTGGAACACGACCAGGGATGTGGCAGCTGCCAGGCAGTTTTATGATACAATTTACTATCCAACAAGATGCCGGATTTTTATTAAATTTTTAAATGTGGAAAAATAACAGCTTGGTGCTGATTTTTTTCAGGGTAATCAGTTAGACTTGTTTTATTTCTAATTTCAAAAATTTGTATGAAAAAATAAACATTATTTGCACAAAATGATGGGTTGGTATTGCAAGTTTCTTCATGCATCGAGTGAGAAGGTAATGACTGGTGATATGGATGTACCCAGTAGGATAATTTAATGTGACCACAATGTTTTTATATTTGCAGGACGATTCAGGACCCGGCGAGCCAACGATTGACCTGGTACAAACCACCACTCTCCGTACTGGTCATCAAGAAGGTCAGAGATGCCCAGGTCATCCAACCCTTCATCCAGCTGGTCAAGTGGCTCACTATCGTAAGTTGCCACGGTCTCATCTGCCACAGGAATGTTGACATCATCATCTCTATCACTTGACATCTTGACAATGTCTTGTGTCACTTAACCATACTCATCTAGCATATGTCACTTCTTATCACTAATACTATCTTTATGTGACATTAGCAACACTGATACCATCATTATGAGACATTTGGCAAGTGTGCACACGCACACACACACACACACACACAAGTATACTGTACTGTAATGGTTGCCCCTCGTGTACAAGGATGGCCGGCCTTGGGCCACCTAGGCGTGAATTTGTTTAAGGTGTAGAACTTGTCACCAACACAACAACCACACCCTGAGTTAACAAGCTGCATGACCCAGTGTCATGGAATAGTCCAAGAAGACCGGACAACTCGCCAACTGCAGTGGCTAACCATTATCCCGAAACACGATCCCTGGGTAGACAGGGGCAAATGGCATAACGAAACTTGTTCATAATTTCATCTTGCCAGGGATCGAACCCAGGTACACTCGCTTTCGAGGCGAGCATGCTGACCATTACACACACACACACATATGTACTTCAATATTTAAACTACAGAACTTTGAATTACTGGTGAGGAAATAACTTTCCACTTTTCATTTGTTTACTTTCTGGATTATCTAAAACTAGTGAGTCTACTTCATCATTTAGTTATTATACAAAGAACAGTCCACCATAGTTAACTGAGGCACATCAAATACAGTATATTAAATATACTTAAAAACTTAAAATTAGAAGTGGTATGAATAAATAGCACTACAGTATACAGTACAATGCTATATGGTACAATACTGTACTCTCAAATACTGTTTCCAGGAAAAGAGAATGTTGGTGTTTGTGGAAGCATCTGTTATGGAAGATAGCCTGGTCACAAATCATTCTGGGTTCCCAATGCTTAAAGACAAGCTCATGAGCTTCAGGGAAGGACAGGATGATCTCACAGACAAGATTGACTTCATCATCTGCCTTGGGGGCGATGGAACACTACTGTACGCTTCCTCACTCTTCCAGGTAAATTTTCTTCCTCGAGGATTACTGTACTGTCAAGGTGAATGTCACATTGAAGGAAACATCACAAGTAATATTTTACTTAGTTATTGTATTTATCATGAGATATTGTATATTTTATCAAGTTTCATATAATCATTGTTTTTTCTACAACAAAAATGTGTCTCAACAGCAAAGTGTACCACCAGTCATGGCCTTCCATCTCGGTTCACTTGGTTTTCTCACACCTTTCAAGTTCGACAATTTTCAGGACCAAGTTACACATGTTCTTGAAGGTTAGTAGAAATTATTAAAAAAAAGCAAAGATATTTGATATAGCACAATAATGGCTTCAGAGATCACCTGTCTTGGAAATGATAATATCCTTTATCAGATGAGAGATACATTTAAGCCTACTATGCATATTACATTGAGAATTGAAATCACAGACCAACTGTCATATGAAATGTTAAATAATTACTGTAGCTGCTAAGAAAATATCAATGGATTATTTCAGAAAGGTTCATGATGTACCTCTTTATTGCTTCCTTTGGGTCTCTTAGTTTGTGCTTTCCTCTTGCCTTGGCCTTTTTAGCAATTTTCCCAGCTTTGGGACCAGTAGCTGGCAATATCTTTCTTGACAGATGTAATAAATTTGGTTTGAGGATGCCTTTCATGCTTAAGTTATGAATTTCTTCGGGACTAGAATTAGTGCTCAGAGAAATGCTCATGCACTTGATCTTTCTGATTGTCTTTTCTGTGGATCTGTGTGTCACTGCTAATACATTTCCTTTAATTCTTCGTTCTGAACACATACCCTGTAGATAAGTTTGTGCTATTTTTCCGTACCGAGGATGTTGTTGTTTATGTCGTCTGAGACCTTGAGCTTATTCAGGCAGAGGGAAGTTCTGGTGTTCTGCTCAGCAAGAGGAGCATGTGGAAAGAGTACTGTACTGCCTCTTCCTGGAATAGTTTTATTGTTAAAGAACACCTTTTCTAGAGAGGTTAGAGTGGGAGTCATGTTAGGCTCCCCTTGGTAAGTATACAGTAAAAGTGTAACAGCTGAGTGGGTACACTATTCACTTCCTTTCCTAAGGATCTCTGGTTTACACCCAGGGCATCCACAGTTCACCTAGCTGTAACTGGGTACCTAATTTTATACTTCAGGAAGTAAAGGTGATAAAGTGCAGTGCTGGCCACACTGCATTGTCCCAATGGGCCAACCGGGGTACTAGACTCGCTTTTATTTTCTAGTGCAGGGAACAATTGGAAAATAATGTTATGTTTATGACTTTCTAGATCTTGCTGTAGTGAAGCAGGAAATGTTTTGTCTACTTTTGGATATATTCTTAATTTGCTCAATCATTTTCTCTGTTTATTCAGAAATTTGAGGAATATTTCCCTTTTTGTTTTCTGTTGGATTACAAATTTAAAATTTAGCTTCGGTTTTATTAAAAAAAAATTCTACTTCGTATGGTAATGGTTTCACTGAGAGATATGTCTAAATAGTGGAATAGTTTTAGCCATTAATGTTGATAGTTTTCCTTGGTTTCTAACCTGTAGACTGAGTGTATAATACACAAGTCAGTTACAGGCTCAGTCTTAAATGGGATTTAGTATTCAAAGTGGTCATTGATAACTCAAAGTTTGGTATTTTAACATTCCCTTAGCCTAACAATAATTCATAAATATATTGCTTTTGGTTAAAATGCATGTTAATTTCAAATATTGCACTGTACATTAATAGTAACCATATTTTACACCAAGGCCATGCTGCACTGACCCTTCGATCACGTATACGATGCATTATCATGCGTAAGGATCAGGAGACAGGCAAGACTGGTCACCCCCCAACAAACTTATTAGTGCTCAATGAAGTAGTTATTGATCGTGGCCCATCACCTTACCTATCCAATATAGACCTCTACCTAGATGGCAAACGTATTACTTCAGTACAAGGAGATGGTAAGGTTATAATTTGGCTGTTTCAGTGTATCCAAAATTAGATTGTTTTGTTAGATATTAAAATATCACATATTTTATATAATGAAGATTTGTCTTATACAGGACAGTATGTTGAGTATGGTATAATATTATTCTTATAAATGAGAAAGGTTATGCTCTGCAGCACTCCAATCTTCTGCATTTACTTTTATTATATTGTTTTTGATTCAGATGACTTAATTTGTAATATAAGATTTATTATGATGTTTTCATTTGCTTGTAGGTCTCATAGTGTCAACTCCTACTGGAAGCACAGCCTACGCTGTAGCTGCCGGAGCCTCGATGATCCATCCCTCTGTTCCTGCTATCATGCTGACACCTATATGTCCACATTCTTTATCATTCAGACCAATCGTAGTACCTGCAGGTGTTGAACTTAAGGTACAGTATTTTATATTTACACTTGTAAATGTTTGTTTATGTTTTTTGCAAAGTTTTTAGCAGTTTTCAAATTTTCATAGTCATTTTTTGTGCTTATCACACATCTTAAAACTTTTATAATTTTTTTTCAAATGGAAGATATTGCTGTTAAATATTTAATAAATATTTACTTCAGTGTGTAGGAAATGGCCAGGTGTCTTTAAAACCACTATTCATAGATAGGAATGAGAAGTAACTCTTGACCTTTGACAACTAGTACTTTTCATCATAATATTTATATCCTAGATATTTGTATAAACATGGTAAATAACACCATTTGCCAGTATCTTTGGCATTTATAAAGGATACAAGTCATCCTGTTGATCTTTAGTATACTTCTCAGTCATCAGGGACTGACCAGCAAGAGATCCCTTGTTGACCTTACCCTTCAGTCATTTGTGATTGCTAAGGTTTAATTGTACAAAATGGATAATGCTATTCAAGCATTCAGGTGAGACCCTTGAAAATGCTCACTTTGTTTTCCCACAAGAGGGTATTGTATACAGTATATTGTTTGGGTATTATTGTTCGATGATTTTGAATGTAAACTTATCCTTTTGACAGATCAATTTTTGGTTTGATCCATGTCAATAGACACATTTCTTGTCTGTGTCCTTTGAATAGTATTATTTTAGCTTTTGAATAAGAGAACAGCAAGGACAATTAGAATAGCTTTTATCATTATTACAGTACTCATGCCAACAAGAAGGTCTCATCCACTGTATTCCTATAGGTGTCTCTACCTCTCACTATGTATGTAAGCACCATGATTCAAGAGAAGAATGAGTTACAGTATTTATTATTTTTTTTATACATACAGTTAATTGATTGGTAAAAATTATTTGACATTCCAGAAAATATGATTTGATTACATGTTTAAGATTTAACAACTTATATTTCATGGCTTAGATTGCAGTATCTAGAGACAGCAGAAATACAGCGTGGGTATCCTTTGATGGAAGGAAAAGACAAGAGCTTTTTCACGGGGATAGGTAAGAGATTGACTGTGTAATGCAAGGCAGCAATATATGCTTCTAAAGCCTTCTGTTTGCTGTCTGTCTTTTTGCCTTTACAACAGGTAGCTGATATCCAACTGAAGACAAACTGACAATGACAACCAAGACTAAAGTATTATTTAAAGGCATTGGATTGTGGGGTGCACTTTTATAGTCTCATTAATATTCTTCTATGTGATTAAGTAATATTGAAGGATTTACCCTTTTTTTCCAAAATTATTTTGCATGATTACAGTAGAAGCAATCTGACATTAACTGGTAATTACTGGAGTATTTTTTAGAATACTTTGTACTAAGTTTCTTATGTAACATAAACACTAACAATATTTTACAGTCACCTGCACTTGAACCCAGTACAGTGGCTGGTGCATTTTGTAAGATGTGGCAACTCTGTGGAATGCTTATCTAGTATCTGTAGTCTGGTTACTGGTGTGAGATTCCTTAGTGCCATTCTGGGAGTTTTAATATGATGTAAACAAACTCAGAGGTGCCACATTTCACAAAATGCATCAGCTACTATCCCAGGCATAAATGCAGGCAACTATACCTGATTTTACTCTCCTAGCAAACAGGAAGTTATGGCAGGTACTAGTCCAGTATAACTTTGGAAAACACCTTTTTAGAAATGAGCAGACCAGGTAGATAGTGGAAGAATCGGAAGGATAAGCTGCTTAGTCTACAGGTGTTATATCTATCACAAGATTATTTGCAGAGACCTAGTTATAAAATAGAATTTAAAGATCGGTCTTTAATTATCCAGAGTATCGGTTTATTGTTGGTCTTTGTGCCTAAAGTACACTTTCCTGCTAGTATTCAGAAGGATTGCTTGTGCAACAACTCCAACAATTACCAATAAATCAGTGAGCAGTTTCACATGGTATTGTTCTCTAATACTGTATTCCTCCTCCACTAATTCTGACCTATTGCCTTACATATACCCTTAGCATTCCACTTACTAGTACTGTCTGTCAATCATTTTGTCTGCATCAATTTTCTGCTGTATCCTCACATCAGCCTAATACGGTATTGTATATTTTGCAGTTGTTCACTGCCCTTTTAAATATACATCTCTTAATCTACACTAAATAGACTGAGTTTTATATATCTCACTTCAGCACTGTATATTAGGGTACTTTTATATGACATGAAACTCCAGTATCTACTTACAACACATGATCCCAGTTATTATGTTGAACTACTGTGTTAATATACTTAGACAGGATTGAATTTTGCTTTATCCTAACTCAGCCAAGTGAATTTTAGCACCCACTCCAAAGCCTTTGGATATATGACTCGTTGCCCCTGCATGTGCAGTTCTGTTATGGAAGAGACTGAACAGATGTATTTGGCATCAGTGTAACTGTGACCACAAAAATGAAAATCAGAAAAAGAAACTACAGTACAGTAATGTTTATTGTTGTTGAAAGCAAATGCAACTTCTATTTGCAACACTGAATTTAACAGTTAAGTGTGCATTTACAGAAATAGCAAGCTTTCTGAATTTGTTTCTCATCTAATCAGAAGTATTGGCTGTCAAGTGTCCCTTCATTTATCATCAGGTAAGTAATGGGTTTGAAAATTCTGCTTCAGAAAACATGGATTTCTTTATTAAGTTTGAATGCCACTGTCATTCAATATGTTTACAGATCAAGTTGAACTGCGAAGCTCGGAACACCTGTTGGGTATCGTTTGATGGACGCCACCAGCAGGAGCTGTTGGTTGGAGATAGGTGTGTCTGTTGGGTCCTATAAGTTGTTCTTTGTCTTTGACATGACAATAGAATGTCTGTCACAATTTTTTTTAAAGAGGTTATAAGCGACCATAATAAAAAAATGAGATCCTTTGGGTCATCACGATTGCTCTTTAACTTACTACTACTTCATGAAGTACAGAACTGAAAATTGGTTGGTTTGTGAATCACCTAATTATATTCTCTCTTATTTCTGCAAAGTGCACTTAAATTATAAGTGTTTAATATTTCAGATATGTAATGGTCATTAATTAATACAGTTTAGCTGGATCTTTTCTTTTCTTATTTGATAAAAGATTATGAATGTTCATAAGTTTTAGAAGTACAGTACAGTATTGCTAAACTTTATAATTTCTGAGGCAAACTTTGCAGAAATTAAATATGAAGTCATTCTTGTCTTACTTAGTGTCAATGTAGTTTTGGGAAAGGAACAACAAAGGGTTTTGGTGTCCCCCTTTTTACATTTTCTTGGCTCAGTACAGTATTCTAATAGCTGCATCATTTCTTCTCAAGTACTGTATGTGTATTTCCAAGTAAGAATATATATATATATATATATATATATATATATATATATATATATATATATATATATATATATATATATATATATATATATATATATATATATATATATATATATATATATATATATATATATATATATATATATATATATATATATATATATATATATATATATATATATATATATATATATATATATATATATATATATATATATATATACTGTATATATATATTTATTTATTTATTTATTTTGGCTATAGGAATTTCAGTTTTCCTTGAAATCTCGGAAGTGAGGGAAGGCTTTTTATATCTAGAAAATTGACACTTGTTTTCAATAGAACTCGAAATTATACTTACAGGTGGCTTGCAGGTGCATTACAGGTTGGATGTGGTTTTTCTACCAATCTTTCATTCTGGTGATTCTATTTAGTTTTAAAGAACCATAGTATTCCTGCTGAAGGTAACGGGTTTGTATATTCAGTCATTTGGTAAGAAAGTGGATTTATCTATAGCCTTACTTTCCTCCAGATGTAAAAGATGCAGTCAGTATTTTGAAAATGGTAAAGAATGTTGATATATCCATCATTGTCTCTTCTTTTTAAATACTGTATATAATTTTTATAGTTTTATATTCAAAATTTTCGAATATTGATTATTCTTATATAAATAATTTTCTTAAAAAATTGGACAAGATGTGAAGACGAGTGACTTGTGGGATACCTTCACTAGAACTCCTCTGCCAGTGCCTTCTATGGTTAGGGGGTTTGATATCTTTTTGTAAGTTTGTAATACTGTATTCTACAGATCAATGTAATATTGTAATATAACAGCTCCTCACCCAGTGAAACAGGAATGAAGCAGTATCCCAAATTCCTAGCCCAGTGGTAGGTTCAATTTAGAGAGACATCAGGTTCACCAGGGCAAAACCGTAAGATAGGATCACTTCTCATCCGGAACCATTTACAGTTCTTGCTGAACTTGAAGCCCACCAAGAGAGGAGATATGGAACCACACCACCTGTTTCCTCTCCTTGGTTATGAAGTGGGTTTTAATATTACTGTACTGTCCTCACAAGTATAGCCCACAGGCCAAAAGCAAGTGACCTGCAATATTCCAAACCAGAAAAGGATAGTGCTGGAAGAGGTCAATTGTCAGGTGAATTCACTAATGGCATCCCATCTAGGAGAATATGTCTTAAGAAACAACAGTGGACTGGGTCAGTTGTACACTAATATGCTGTACAGGTAATCAGTTATACTGTGCAATGCTGAACATTGAATCTCTATCACCGCACAGTTCAGTTTTGAGTTCCTCAAAATTCTTTTATTGTTTTGGATATTTTACTCAGGAATGATATAAAAAGATCTCAGCCCTGAAATTTATGTGCTCAAACTGTGTGAGGGAAGAGCTCATGATGAGGTGTCAAAAAATTTGAGGATCATTAAAATGATGAAAGTGGGTAAAACAATTACTGTACTGTAGATAGTCTGGTCCTTCTCCAACAAGTCATGAAAAGAGTACATTTCATACGGGAAGAAATAAACACAGTACAGTAATAGAACACCCCAAAATAAATACATTTTCATTTTTTGTCCTCTGGTTAACATAGGGAATGCAGTGCATATGTTTGAGATTGGTATCTTTGTTTTTTATGAATTTAAGAGTTACAAATGTGTTAGTGGAAATACTGTTTTGATCAGGTTTCATGAGCAGTGAGGTGCTGTTATGCAGCACTATCAGTGTAGCCTGCTGTTATTAAATGTCATGCCCCTTAACTGTGCCAGGCACTGAGAGAAAGGGGAGGTTCCAGTTGCAGTATTTGAAAGAACAATTGTTGATAACCTGTAAGCTGTAAAATATTCTTAATGTTGGATGTGAGTGAACAGTCTTGGGTAAAGTAAGGCTAACTAAATTGTCCATCATGATATTTATCTTGTGCATGCTGGTGAACTGTTGGGACTTGTTTAAAATTTGCATATTATGACACCTAAAGAAGCATTTTTTTATCTCATATCTCTGCTGTCTACTGTTATTGAAAGTAGATTGCATATTGTAGATTAGTTAATAGTTATCCAGCAGCCTTGAGAAATAGTAATCACACTTGGTCAAATACTGCCTCCCTTTCAGATTTAAGCAACATTGTGCCTTTATATACTTTGCATACTTCATCTTAAGCTAGTGTTTTCATTTTTTTTAATTTTATTGTCTCATAGATATGCAAACTTTAATTAAGCCATTCAGAGGTGTATGTTTGTAGAATTTATATTTCCTTAACTTTTTCTGACAAAAACTGCATAACGACTGACGTCTAGGTATATTTATATGTGAACTGTGACAACACAAGTGGAGGGAAGGCGCACAATCTTTTCTGACGTAGAAGGGAATAGTTTAGTGAGAGTTTCAATTCTGTTGCTTTATTAAAATGTCACATATTGTGATAAGTTAATAACTAACATTAGATTTGAAGCTCTGGTGCTGTAGAATGTAGTTAATTAAAAATTCAACCACCTCTCCTTTTTTTCAGCTTGGCCTTGTGATCATATTATCTATTTGCTATGTAAATAAGTTATATGGGCTACATACAATTCAGAAATAAGATAAATATGTTAAAGCATATAAGCATGACATTTCAATTTCAAAGTAGCACACAAAATCTTTGAAAGAAACATAGTGATTGCAAGATTTCCCCTCGTAAGTAATCCAAATTGCTTTGTTTTAAATGTCAGTCTTGCTCTGATTAATTTCAATAATTTATTCTCTTTTACTTTATCTAAATAGATGTCAACACTGTAGAGTACCTTGTATAAATTTTTTAATCATTGTCATTATTATTTTTTTGAATGTGGTTATAGTGTTAAGTCATTGAGTGCTTACATGCTTTTTCAATTTTAATTCCCATTATATTTTTTTTTATCATATACTAAGGTGTGTTAAATAAACTGTTGCCTTTGTTATGATTGAAATATGGTATTACTCAAAATAGATAAATTTTATAAAACTAAACTATATTTGAATTGTTTATGGAAAGTCATGTAAATGATTATGGGTCACAAAAAGACACCAACTAAAGTTTTAAGAGTTGTCAGATACAAAAGTTTAAATGATTGTTTAGTGAGTGATTCTGTTAATGACAAGTATTGACAGTGAACCCCCCAATCTCTCCAACAGCCTTCGTGTTACTACCTCCATATATCCTGTTCCTTCAATCTGTGCTGAAGATCAGATTGCGGACTGGTTTGCTTCTCTTGATGAGTGCCTACGATGGAATGATCGCAAACGCCAGAAGCACTTTGATGATCCAGAAGACTTAAGCCCAACTGACCACACCTCTGACCTTACTCATTCTTCAAGTTCAGACACTCTTGACTCACTTAGTGAGAGAAATGAGGGCTGTGATAATTAGGTAAGCAATGTTAGATGGTTAAATTTAAAAGGCCCCTAATGCAAATATTACCATTTACTGTACAGTATAAGATTTGTTGCCTGAACAATGTAAAATCAGGTTGTGCTCGTATGTTTTAAATCTCCTTTATATACATGTTTTTTTTTAAATATAGATTATGTTTACTATGTAAACGTTGGTTTTCATTTTCCAAAAAAATATTGTTTGACGTCAAAAATAAGCCTGACTCAATACCTTGCGTCTCAGCACTTGAAGTCATATCATGGATTTTGTTCAAATTTCTTACAAAAGTACTAATTTACATGGTGATTAAGGATCTGGGTTCACAATTTAAAAATTAGAGTAATTAGTGTTAATTAATGACCTTTAAAATAATTAAAGATACCTGTATTTAGAATACAGTAAAGCCTCGACTAACGACGGTAATGTGTCCTCCAATATTGCAGTGTAAGGTGAATCATCTTATCGTGAATCATTAATTACCATTAAAATAAGCCAATAATAATGAGATGCGTTCCCAAGTGTGACCTTTTTATATCTTTTGTGTGGCACCTTATACAATATAAATAAATAATAATATGGTCACACAAGAGGAGATGGGACGGCATTGTTTTCGTTAGTGTTTACACCCGGGAGTCCGGGACGATGATTCTACATGAGAAAATAAGACCCTGGTTATAGCTGTAGTAAAATTAATGTAAAAAAATTAATATATATGTTTTAAGTAATATTATTTAATGTTAATAAATGGAACAATAGAAATTGCTAACCACTAATGGTAAAGAAATAATGCGAGACGATTGGGAAAGCCAACTTATGTAAGTGCATACATGAAAAAACATATCGTCATTTCTTTACATAAGAATATGAAAGCAACACTTATTTACTGTTCATATACAGTATGTTTTAAATGATACTTATGAATGTAAAACAAAAATTCTACTCACCAATAGTGGTAAAGTCTAAAACATACAGACAGCTAATGATGTTGTGTGAGTTTTTACTCAGATGACGAAGTCATCAGGTTCAACTCAGGCTGAAGCTGTAGCTTTCCATAAAGTTGTTGCTGAAACTGTTACTGAACCTGAAGTTGTTGTTGAAGCTGCTTATGATGCTGAATTTGATGGTGTAGCTGAAGTTGATGGTTTAGGTCTTCGAATAATAAAACTGTCTAAAGAACCTTGCACAGCTGCTTTCTTTTCTCATTATACATTTTTATGTAGAGGTTCTGTTAATGGAACCACTTCAGAAAATATGTTCATTGTTTGCTCCATATATATCTACAGACCTCTCACCTTTTTCATATCGGTTTAACACATCTAGTTTCTCGGATAAGCTTACACACTTTCTATTAGCTTTTGAAACAGCACTACCATCACATGCTCTCTTGCTCATATTGAATAGGGATGCAAAAATGCCGTAAGAAACCTGAGAAAGTTTTTCCCCTTTTCCTGTTCAGATGCGTGAAAACAAAGGGCCCGCCAGCTGCGATTGTTTATATAGTGATGCTGGCGTCACCACTAACAAGCCCAGCAGTCTCCTTGTGCTTGTTTTTTTTTCGTTTTTTTTATACTACATATCGGGATTTAGTTATTATTTACATGAATTTTTTTTTCTTATTTTGTCGTAAATACGAAGAAAATAATAGCATAAATTGAATTGGGTCCTAAATTAACCAGGGTCTTAAATATGAATCGTCGTTAGTAGAACCGTCGTTAATGGAGGCTTTACTGTATTTAAAAGGTAAATTACACTGTGCCCGTAAGGTTTAAATCACCTTCATTGACATTTTCTTAAAAATGTAGATTGTCTTTACATTAGATTTCTCACTTTATTAGAATATTTTCATTTCTGGTGATACAGGTTGACAACCCTTTATCCGAAATTCCGAAAACCGAAAAGCTCTGAAAACCGAAAGGTGTTTTTTTGTGGGGCAATTTTTTTTTTTTTTTAAACGGGGATTCGCCCACCTGGGCATAGATCACTGACCCACATCAGGGCCTGGGGGGCGAAAATGTAATAGTAATAGTAATAATAATTATAATAATAATAATTATTCATAGTAAATAAAAATTTTAATAAAAATACACCAAAATAAAATACAGTAATATGATAACATTAATAATGTTAATAATAATAATAATAATAGTAATAATAATAATAATAATAATAATAATAATAAAGAAATACAAGAATGAAAAAAAGATCAAAAGTGAGAAACACGACCTAGACCTATGAATTATTATTATTATTATAATTTTTATTATATTCCCCAGGCCCTGATGTGGGTCAGTGATCTATGCCCGGGTGGGCTAATACAAAAAAATAAAATAAAAATTCTGAAAACCGAAAAATTCCGAAATCCGAAATTCCTCTGGCCCCAAGGATTTCGGATAAGGGATTGTCAACCTGTACAGTATTTTCTCCATTCCGTACTAGGTATTACAGTAAATTAAATTCTTATTTTATTCTTTTATAGAAAATTTTCTCATCAATACTATGTAAAAAAAATAAAAAAAATTTATAATGTGAATATTTTACTCAACAGGTTCATCATAATCCAGTTAGCATATACAGTACATTGATTGGAAAATGTGATTTTAATCAGTGGAAAACATGTTACCTGTGAGACAAAGGTACAGTAATTCTCATCATTTACTACAGTGTGTTCATTCCTTTGAAGTACTGTACTAGTAAATTAACATGTTACTGTCACAATAGTTCAAGTGTTAGTTTGTAACAGTGCATGTGACCAGGACATAGACCTTCTCATAAACAAGATATCCCAACTACAGGTTTAATTTGTAAACAAATTTTTTCATGTTATTTTACTTATGATAAATTTTATGGGTAAGCAGGTAGGTGGTGATAATATATTGCAGTATCCAGCAAACGTGTAATTGGAATACTTACCATACATTTATAAATAATGAAGAATCTCACCCATTGAGTTCAATTACATTTTAATATTCCTTGCTTTACAAATCATACCTCTGGAAGTTTGGATTAAGTGAACTACCGGTAACTATTGCTAGGCCACTCATTTATAAATCATTATTTTTTCATACTGTATTTGTGTCCGTAGCAGTAGGGTATAACCTAATATTACCTTGACAAAAAATATTGCAAATGAATGGTTGTAACAAACAGTTTCTCTCCTTTTTGTTAATGTTAAAAATGATAATGTTGACATTCTAGATTCAGTTATGGAATAGCAGATGTAAGAATTTGGGTCAGTTATTTCAGATATACAGTAGACCATCCCTGGAAGAGTGTACAGTACAGTATTTGGCAAGAGTTTTTACGACAAATTCAAGACCTGTTGTAGAAGTGTGGTCCATTTGGCCAAATGATATTGCCAAAATATAATTAGTTATGATAGTCAATTAGTTGGAATTAACAGCAGTCGCTGCCTGCTTTTAGCACAAGAAATTTGTAAACTAAAAACTACTCTTTTTGACATGCATTTAATGATCAGTACGGTAGAGTACTACTCTGAATAGATTTTTTTTTTTTTAAGATAGCCAATTCCAGGTGATCAACCCTCATTGTAGGATGATGTGTACGTTAAATGAAAATGATATTGAATCCTGTATGTATGCTTAAAATTAGTATTTTATCCATTACTACTACTATTTGTATACAGTGCAAATACAGAACTACTATGTTTATTATTTATTTTCACAACATACAATATTGATTTTCCCATGTCATAAGTGTTCCACTGCATATGAACATTAGTAGTAATGATTTTTTAATATTGATTTACAGTATCTGGAATATAAAACTGTTTTTAAGAAAAATTTACACGTGAAAAGTAATGATCAATTTGTACCGAATAACTTCACAAACTCTATGATTATTTATGATATAAAAAAGAAGCTGTGATGTGTGTGTGTGTCATTCCTGATTTGATTGGATTGTTGTTAGTAATGCATCAAAAGTGTAAAACTCATATTTATGTTCATTTATATTTCCAATCCAGGTATTCCCTAAATCTCAGAAATTTCATTGTGCTTTTGTTCAGCTGCACTGAAAACAGATTTGGGAATAATACAGAAATTTAATATATCCAGTGTTATAAACTGGAAATATTAGGATGAACCCAATGACAATAAAATGTGAACACATTATAGCAGAATACTGTACACCCACAGTTGTGGAAGTATGGAAATGATATTAGAATTAATTATAACTAAATTACAATGAGTAAATAACATTGAACTTTGAAATTCTTTCGATATCTGAGGTCCTTGTCCATTTGACATAAATAGAGTTTATTGTAAGTAGATCCACTTTCTGCTCTTCATGGCAGAGAAGCACTCTTACAAGTTTATGGTTATACACTACAGCACTGTACTAGTATATTGTAATTTTTACAAGAGAATTCATCATACCAGTTTTAGCTGTCACTGAAGTGAATCATTTACATCTTGCACTAAGAAAAATCAACATGTAGAAAGGATGAAGACTGTTTTATCAAGTGTACACAAGTTAGGAAATGAAAGGAAAGCAGCAGAAATACAGTAGATAAACACTGGTCAGGGATTCAAGAAAGACTGAGCAATTCTTAGCCTTAGAAAGGACAACATGGAGTTCTAGAAAATCTGGCAAAACTAAACGTTGCAGTATGAGGCTCTTTCACATCTCCCTTTGTAGATCACTCATAGGCTACAGGTTAACCAGTGTACTACTTCAGGAAATATTTAAGACTTCATTTAAAAGTCTTGAACACTTCAGTGTCCTAAATCTTTAGGAAAGAAAATATAGGTCACCTTTTTCAATGAAGGAAGACAAGATATTAAGGATAATATATATTTTTTAACTATGCACCTGGCTTTATTGTGGGGGCAGGGGGGGGGGGGAGCTCAAGGAGTATCACTATCTCTTAACTTCAATTGTTCAAACACAAATCCTGTATGATCTTAAATGAATGATAAAGATTGGTGCTGGTAGGAGAACAGAATTAGAAATAAGTGCTGCATGCTCTTTGCTCTGCAATATACAGATAACCCTATTTTTTAACACCGTGAAATGCAATAAATTACAGTAATAATAACATGAAAAAGTAAAGTATGTATATACAGTACTGGTAATTCAATTGCTCCTTTATGAACCTTTTAGGCGTATAATATAAAATAATAATTTATAAAGGTTGCATTTACTCTTGATTTTAAAGTTGTTGAAACTGATATTTTCATAAGTCAGACAGTCCTTAATGTTTGGCTCTACCCCGGTATGTAAAATTAGATCTGGTCCTCAGTTATTTAACAAATTCCTACTGATACCTATGTACAGTAAATCTATTTATTTTTCAGTGACTTTATAGCATATTAGAAAACAATAAGGAATATATAGATACAGTACATGTATAGATGCTCTTTTGAATCATCTGTAAATACTGTTTGAAGTTATCAAAGTGAAACATTAAAAAAAAAAATGCTGCAAACACAGTTACTCCAGTTTATTATAAAATCCTAACCAAAGGATTTAGGACAGAATCCTCATATGCCACATTGCTTGAGTTCTGAATGGAAATGTATAGGGCGAAATGTTGTACTGTTGCATACTATTACAACATGCCCATCTAAGGTAGCGTGATACTTATCATGTGCAGGCAAGGTGGGTAAAGTAAAAATAAGAATTAGAGTTACTGTATTTCACTCCAAACAGCAATAGTTTAATTGACAATTACAGAGATTATATAGATTAATTAAATGAGCTGGTTTACTTATATATATATATATATATATATATATATATATATATATATATATATATATATATATATATATATATATATATATATATATATATATATATATATTGTCACCAGTAATTAACAAGACTTACAACCTAATCAAGAAACCTACAGATAACAATAAAAATGAAACATGTATGTTTGGGGGATATTTTCACTTATGAAAGCATACAATCATAACTTCCTGTATGTTACTGTTGTTTTATGAAGATTTATGTTATCCACATTTCCATTGTGGATCTACATGATATATTACCAGAAAAATAGTGACATTGATGTAAAGAATACTAATGGAAGTTTAGTGTGGAGTAAATTTTATACCAATAGAGGATCTCATATTGTCATTTTTTCCCCTGATAATGATAATTAGTCGTGTATAAAAACTAGTCTTTAATAAATATTTTCTCAAGAATATATTAAAGTTGGTGACTTTCATGGCTACGTTTTTGGATTTGTCAATAAGAATTCTAAATTGTTGCTCTTAACTGTCGAGTGTAAATTGTAAAGTTCCTAAACAAAGTATGTACCCGGTATATATTTGTTTTATATGTCATACAGTTCAACTAAAATAGAAACACCAGATTCCATATAGGGACCACAAACAAAACTATAGTACTTATTCTGAAACTACCTATTTTAGATAAAATTATCACACTGCTGCTGACATGTTTATGTATTGATTACATGTTGTAAAACTTAGTTAATTATAACCAGAGGAATAATGAGACTGTTAGTAATAATCTACCTTCCATTAGTACACACCATTCTACTGACTTCCAAAATTGGTGATATTTAGGTAGGGTCTTCATCTTAGTTTAAGACCTCTCCGTAGGAGCCAGAGGTAGTCCTATTTTTATACTAAACCTTCAGTTTTTTAAGAAAGTATGAAGTTTTCAGATACAGTAGTTTTACACTACAGTATACTGTACATTATTCATTTACTGAAAAGGCTTGTTGTAGATCTTGTGTAAGAATAAAATAAGATTGAATTTAATTTGTTGAAAGATTAATTGTTTTATTTAACTTGGAAAATTTGTGTTTCCGTACAGCTAAGTTATACTGTATTTAAAAATCACCACTAGGGAAATCATAAATTATTTTTTTCTTAATAAAATGCATCGTAATATAGTTATGTCCTTACATTGCCATACTCTACATATGCTATCATTAAATGGTCTCATATAAATCAAGAACAGTGTTCAACTCATATATGAATAAATTTAGTTAGGCAAACTGCTGCCTTCAGACACAAGAATTTAAAACCCTCTCCACTCTTAGGTGCTAGGAGGTGTTCAATGATTATTACATTTCTCAACATAATTTAAGAAACATCACAGGTATATTATTTTGATTCACAATACAGTACTTAATACTGTGTAATGGATAAGTGACACCTCATTTGTACAGTGTTGCATATAGTTTTAGGAAAGGTTTTTGCATTCATTTTCTATGTACCGTACCTTTTTTCTAGTAATTCATGCCAGGGGTTGTACAAAGAACCAACTTATCAAGTTGTTCAGTATATTCCTGCAAAAACTTTTTTTTATACGTCTTTGTCTAAATGTTATCCAATGCACAAAGTGTGCGGGAATTTATTTAACTTTTGTTTATTTTCATAATTTTATGAAGTAAAAAATAAATTTATAATACTGAGTATGTCTTAATTATATGATGTATTTCACAATATTTTTATTTATTCCTTATTTGATCCATTGAATTAGTGTTTTGTCTGGTTGTTGTATATATTTCCACATACAGTATATGTCAAACTGTTAATTTTGTCAAAATTCTAAATAAAGAATGTTAAAAGCAAACTTCATTTACATAGTGGTCTATATCTCTCTCTTGCCTTTCTACACACACATTATTGGTTATAACCTCTTCAATAACATAAACTGTCTTTCATTGTGCTAGAAACTGTATATTCGATATGCAATCAAAACTTGGTATAAAAGTGTAACTTAAACATTCCAATGCATTTTGATCAGTAAGCAATATTTCAGTGTTATATTAGTTCCTTTTTGATAACGAATTATGAAAGAGTTTATCTTGTTTTTAGAACTTTGTACATATGAATTTAAGGTAGACTGAGTCTATGTAGAGTGTAGTACAGAATGTTGTTGGGTCAGAGGTCCTTTTATTATTTATTAAAAGAAAAACTATTATGTGATTTTTAATTTCCTCTTTAGCTTTTGATTTTTCCTCATACGGTACTCCCATCCCAGCCCCGGGTGAAACACATACAGGACAGTTATAAAAGGACTTTAAGAAGCAAAAAAAAGAGTTAAACTTGCTTTTTCCTGGAAAGTAATTGAGGGAGACAATGTATATGTTTGTAGTGATGCAAAGACTGGTGTTTATACCAACAGAGGATTCTCCAATCCTTAACCTCCAGGCACTGGGCTATGGTAGGCATATGTGGGAATGTTCAAGAAAATTTTAAAAACAAAAAACAATTTAATCTTACATGATATAAATAGTAAAGAAATACATGAACTTACCACAGGTTGTCATAACCTGGGCTAAGAAGAGAAAAAATGCACAAAGTGGCGTGTATGACACAGTCGGATGAGGTACGAGGTACACAACACTGATTTGTAGCCAATTTGAGGTACAGGACACTTGTTTTATAATGTTATTACTATTTACAATTATTATTATTATTGCCTCCTGTAATTTACCATGAATCATGGGGGTTGGGGAGTAGAAACACGTGGTGAGACGCATGAAGTTGACAGGCAATCCCTGCATCACAAAAACTGAGAGGCTACTGAGAAGGGAGGCTCACATGCATGAGCAAGTGAAAGATAAATGTCTTCTTGGCAACATAATTTAGCCAGGCCCACGTGTCGATTCATACAGAAATGCGAAATTACAACATGTCATATGATGGGAGCCAAAGCCCCGTAAGCATACTTACCATGCATTTGACGATCTGTTATTTTTATGAAAAGGGATAAACATCATTGAAAAAGTGTTGCATGTCAGAAGCAGTGAATTAAACCATCCATGTTGTTGAAATCCTTGTTAAGCACTGACAATGCACCATGACTACACAGTCTTCAGTTTCATGCATTATTTGTTTCCACAGTGCTCAGTAGCTCTTCAATTATGCTGGCATATCCCAAAGATACACTACTGTGAGCTCATACAGATTTCCTCAAAATACATGATGTAAATTTGCTTTACAAAGAAAAATAAAAATAAAAATCTGACAAATACAAAACTGTTTTCAAAATATCTAAGGAATTTATTAAAGTTTTTCATTGTGAATTAAATATTACTACTGTATGAATACTTTATGCAAATTAAATATGAATAAAATAACATATTTTGAAATGTTAAGTTTTTTATTGTTGTAGTACTCCCTTAACATGTGTACAGTGCCTGGAATTACCTGCTAGAGAAATTTACTTAGGGTACAATACCACGTGTTATTGTATCGAACACAGTAAATATTTTTGAGAATGTGAAACAGGCATGGAGGGATCAGAAACAGAAACATTATTACAGAGGCTACAGCATACCTGTTCAATTTATGACAACTCGCCTTACTAAATGTAATTTCTAAATTAGTCCAAACCTGGTAGTATCAAAATGGAATACATCCTTCTCACATGTGTCCAGGCCAAGGGCGTTAATTTGTTTAAGGTGTAGAAGCTGTCGCCAACACAACAACCACACCCTGAGTTAACGAGCTATATGACCCAGTGTCAAGGAATAGTCCGAGAAGACCGGACAACTCGCCAACTGCACTTTCTAATCATTCCCATGGAACACAATCCACAAATCGATTAACATCCAGGCTCCCAATTACTGCTGGGTAGACAGGGACAAATTGCACAAAGAAACTTGTCCATAGTTTCACTCTGCCCGGGGATCGAAACCGGGTCCACTCGCTTGCAAAGTGATACAAGCGTTACCGTAGTACCATCAACACACCCATTTGCTATGAAACATTTGAATAAACGACCACGAATTAGCAAATCAGACGCAAGTACAGTACAGCATATCTTTTGAAAGTTGACAAAATGCAGGGGCGGATCCAGAATATCAAAAGGGTCCAAGAAAATGTGGATGGGAAAACATGGAAAGCACAGTGAGCCCACCCAGCTAAGAGATGGGCACTGTATCCCCCCCCCCCTCAGATTTTTTTTTTAAATCTGTCCATTATCATGGGCATTTTGAGGCCATTTTGAAGCCATGTGCACTTGATATTCTGAGGTAAAAAGTAATTAATTTTACCATAAAAAAACGCCCGAGCACAATACTGCATTAAAGAAAAAGTATTGAAATTTTCTGATGAAAAGGGGGACCCCAGGACCTCCCAGATCCGCCCCTGAAATGTGGAGTTCGGATAATAGTACACGTGCTCTCTTCAGCTAGTTGAAAATATGGAAAAGTATTGTAGTGGATCCCTCCCCTACAAACGCTTTTGTCGCTGAGTAGCCCGACCCCGCAAATTCCCCAGTGTATGCCTCGTGGTCTAGGTCAACCAGCGCCGTCTTACATGACGGAGGTCAACTATTAAGCCACGCCTACCTCCGCTATATAAGACCTGACCTCGTGGTGACCTACCTCTCTTTCTACCTACACCAACCAGCCAGCAACACCTCTTCCTCCACTCCTGCCTGGTGGCCCTCGCTCCCGCCGGCGACTATGCCGCCCTTCAAGCTGCCTGTCCTCCTCTGAGCACCCTCACCAACCAGCTCTCTCTACATCACGCTTGTAACCACGCTGCCTTCCCAGCACCAAGCTGCCTTGTACATCCAATACAATATGTGTACAGAGAGCACATTGTGAGTTTCCTTTCTCCATCCCACCCTGAGTGTGAACCAACATCCCGTACCCCACAGTATCGATGATAAGAATTTACACAATAACTATTTGCAAAATGAGTGTCATTCAATAAACCCACTTGTATTTGACAAAATTTATCTAGTAAATGAATTTTAAAAGTCGGTGTAATGTGGGCAGCCTTTCATTAGTTTGAAAAGAAAATAAATTCAATCTCTGTTGAAACAATGAATTTAAACCTTATGACATAGTATTTAGAGAATAACACTAAATTTGATTGGTGGTTCAGACTGACATATATTAAGACTTAGCTGTACATATCCTCTGCATTATTTTACCAGAGTTGGAATATTACCTTTTCCGTAAATTACGTTGTTCTTTTTCCTCAAAGAATGTTATACAGAAGTCGGTACAAAGTGTTCAGACTGTTCCTTAGAGTGGTGTAATGTGGCGTCAGGCTGGACCAGTAGGAGCGAGGCGCCGCTCTCGGTCTACCTGTGTTCAAACCGGTGGTCAGGCAGCTCGTGTCGCAGTAAACAACAGCTCTGGGCTTTAAATATCCTCCAGGTAAGGTTTGTCTTGCACAGCGTTATATTGAGAGTATCATATCAGTAAATACTGTCAAGATATCTGGCAAGGCCATAAAACACAGGAAAACCTCTGTGTTGGTCCCGGAAATGCTAAGATAAGAAAAGAGGAATCATCTGATCTAAGCCTCCCGCATGTCGAGGAAACTTCTTGGTCAGACTTCAGAGGCTGTGGAATGAGGTGTGTCAGGCAACATAGCGTTTTGTGGTGGTAATGAACTTATAGTTAATGTAGGCCCTATACTTTGAGGTGTGTGATTAGACGAAAAGATCTTCACTAAATACGTGACTAAGGAACGTTACCTTAAGTAAAATGTGTGAATGAAAGGTACCGTGTGCATGGCAGACTCGTGTTAGATTATTAAGTGGCAACTGTTATGAAAGGTTGACCATTAAAGTAAGGCTTATGTGCTACTGTAAGTGTTATTATGACTGGTGCAGTCTCAATTTACATGATGCTAGTTTGCCCTAGACCTATGGAACAGGTTGAGAAAGTGATAACAAAAACAATCATAATGCTTCAGCTCATGAGAAGGAACAACTTAAGGGACATTTCTAGAAGAAAAAATTTGCTCCTCGACCCAGCAACGAGACATATATTTTTTAGTTCATATATATATATATATATATATATATATATATATATATATATATATATATATATATATATATATATATATATATATATATATATATATATATATATATATATATATATATATATATAGTATAATGTCCCACAGTATTTTTGGGTCCAGTTCTAGGTATCTCGTCATTTCTAACACCTTTTCTTAGTAGTTTACTTCGTATATTATTCGTTTTTTAAGAAAATCGCATAATTTGTTAGATTATGGGCAACTTTTAAAAATGTACCTTTTTTATGTAAAAAATAACGCCGTATATAGGTACTGCAGCCGTATTGATGGACTGTGTTGGTAATGGTTAGGTTATGTTAGACGTGGATTGGTTTTGTTAGGTTTTGATTGTTGATGTGGTAAAATTGCAGATTACAGCAACCAAAGAATCTGATAAAAAAAAAGTTGCCTAACCTAATGTATTATAAGAAAATGATCATAGAAAAAATAGTTCTCTCTATTGAGTGCAGTAAATTTCCGGAATTCTGTGGTTGTCGTTAACTGCAATATTACCGTTTAAGTTAGGTTAGCTAGTGAGAAAGAAAGCCATCTTAATAACTGTCATTGTATATTCTGCCCACCACGCATGTACATTAAGCTATCATACCAGTAGACATGGACGTTTTCCATACAGCTGCCATACCAGTATCCTGTGCCTTTTTTAGTAATCCTGGAGTAGATGACTCACCAGGATGCATTGTTTGATATCATTCATTTTTTCCTCAGATGTTCTTTGGGTGATAGAATAATGCACAGAACCTAATAGAACCTGACCTGACCTAACCAACCAAAGAAACCAACCTAACTTTATAGCTGGTAGAGGGGGGCGATCCCCCCGCCATATTAAGCAGAAAGTACTTACTTTGATATCTGGTACCATAAAGGCACCTTTCTTGAAACAGCATGGTGTTAATTTTATTTTTGGAGGGGGGAGGGGTGAGAGTATGCTCGGACCGAGTGGGTTCAAACATAAAAAAAGCAGACAACAACTTGTGCTGACACGGCAGATTTTTCAACTGAATATTTATAATGAATAATTAATTTTGTTGTCTACATAGCATGTAAAGACATCATTTTAGTGTCATATGATCAGTTTTTCACTGTGTTGTATCCCGCAGTATCCCTCATCCTTCATATCCTCTCCACTATAGGTGATTTATGATTGTAGATAGAGAGGAAGTAAAATAATTGAAAAATCAATACTTATAATTAAAGCAAAAGTTGTATCATTTTTATTACTGTACTGACTATCATCCAAAGAACATCTGTAGAAAAAAATTAACGAAATCGAATAACTCTTTCTGGTGTTAGCCTTCTGGGCCAGTATTGCAGCTGATATCCAAGCAACTTTGTTTACATTCAGCATGTTAAAAAATTTGGAAGTACCAGATACAGTACTGCTATGTTATATACATTAGTTTATCATTGATTAAAAGAACCAAACTATACAACCTAACCTAACCTAACCTAAATATAAAGGCAGAACTGTACTCAATTTACGAAGGTTCAGTTTGCAAAAATCTGAATTTACGAAAAATAAATCTCGTCCCTTGATTTGATTTATGAACAAAATATCCAGAGTTAGGATAAAAATTTCACCATTTTCAGACAGGTTTTTTTTACTAACTACAGTAATAATAAAAATAGTTCCATACAAATCTGCCACCTACTCATGTATTTGAAATGTTTACGTCAAATGTATTTGTAAAGAAATTACAGATTATCGTGAGAATTTCTTGTGGTTACTACACTGGAAGGATCGTTGAAATTCGTATTATTAAATTATCTTGGTGTTAATGGCTCCTAATTCACATTGCACAGCCAATATTTCATCCTTTTCAAGAGAAGAGAAGGACTCACATGCCTTACCGTTCGGAGAAAGGGGAGATTCACACCCAATTCATTGACCTGTGCAGTGGTACACATTGAAAATATTTGTGTTTTTTTAGATGCAGTGATGTACACATTCAAAAACCTAAACTCAATCCTCCTTTTACTAACTTCAATTAATGGCTCCTAATAACCAATTTTGTTTCCTTACAGGATGTGAGCTGTATGCATGACCAACTTATATGAGTGTATTGTAAAGATAATATCTGTATCTATATTCCAACAGAGTACTGTCAAACATGGAGGTGACAGAAGAAAATCTGGGGAGACTGGTGGAGGTTTTAACTCACACATTCTCTCCTGATGTCACACAGCGCCGCTCAGGTAGGTGTACCGGTACTGGAGTAGAGAATAGCATTTTAATGGCTTCCTGCTTCTTTTTATGTATATATATTGGTATACAATTTTGGTTATCTTAATTGTGCCTCAGGTGGAGTGAGTCTACTAGAACATTATGTCATAGCTTCAGGTATCATGTTTCATTTATTTGATGACATTGCACTTTTATTTGTATATTTTGCCTTTGAGTGGGGGGTTCCTGGTATATCAATCATGTTGTTTTCCTTTGGATGGTTCTTGTAGCTATGGAACTCCTCTCTGTCCACTAGTACAGTACAGTAGTAACAACATGGTTTACTCTAACTGTAGTATCCCTTAACTAACTTACGTAAAATTTGAAAAGCTTCTATCATGAAGTGTGCTGAGTTTTCCTAGGTTTCAAGCTGCATTATGATAACCATTTTTGATATCTCGATGTGTCTCAGCCTGTGAAGTGGACCTTAAATTTGCCCTTATATTGAATAAAGAGACATTACTGTATTACAACATTATTTTGTTTCAGCTGAGCAGTTCTTAAACCAGGTGGAAGGTCATGAAAATTACCCAGTGCTGTTGCTCACATTGCTAACTCGTGATGAAGGACAAGTTCCCAAAAATATCAAAGTTGCTGCAGCAATCAACCTCAAGAATTTGGTCAAGAGAAATTGGGTTGTGGTAAGTTCACATTTTTTCCCCCACATTAATAGATGTTAAATATCAAGACGAGATGTAGGCATTAATAATGCATTTATCGAATATGTGGGTTGACCTTGGGGTGGATATTTGATACTTGAAGGGACTCCTCCCCCCACTCCCCATTGGGCTGATGAATGAACTATTAAGTTAGCCTTTGGATTTTAACAGGTGTAACTACAGTATTCCCATCAAACCTGAATGGTGTTTGACAACTTCTTATTTATCACATAGATTTTCAATTCCTCTCAAATTGCATTTCTATCAACTGATATAATATACTTTTTGAGATCCATGTATGGTTCAAATACTGTAGATCCATTCCCGTTTCCTTGACTTTACATTTATACCTTTGAATGCACACTTCCTATTTTTAGCTTAAAATGTAATTACTCAATACTGTGCACTGTTTTATGCAAAAAAGTTCTCAATAATAAGTACAATACACTTTCTTGATATACTTCACAGACATGTTCCTCCAAAACTTTTACATTCATTCTTCTCACCTTTCCCCATACATGGGAGAACTGTACAGTACACACTTTTTGCAGTATGTAAAGTTGAAATTCCAGTAATGTAATTGGAAAAAATTTCAGGACGAAGATGGGACCGATAAGATTAGTGCCAGCGATCGTTCTGTTGTTAAGCGTGAAATTGTGGACCTCATGCTGAGATCATCGGAAGGTGTTCAGCGGCAGCTCTCTGAAGCTATCTCCATTATTGGAAAGTCTGACTTCCCTCATCAGTGGCCAGATCTAATTCCTTATATGGCTGAGAAGTTTAAATCAGGTAAGTTTTATTGTTAATTTATTTTTGGTAATATCTCCAGTTCCTCTCCTCAGTTACAGTATCTATTAAACCTCTCTTTATGGTAAGGAAGAAGAAATTTTACATGTCAGCATTTTGTGGCATGTATGATCCTTTAGTCATACATAAACAGCTCATGGGATGCCCTTATTTGTCTGTATTTCTTGACGTTTCTTTGCTTTTGAGAAGTTTCTGTACTAGTTAGCTTTGGCAGACAAGCTGCCGTGCCTTTTCATTCCCCTAACTCATTCCAAATACTTTTCTCCTGCAGTCACATTGGGAAAAATTCCTCATTATACAGTTAAACTTTTAATTATAAGTCATATTTCTATGGAACACATCCCAACGTATAATGATTTTATTATCTATTTCTTATAATCGATTCATGGTAGCCATCTCATAAAATTGAAACTTTTTGCCCACTCCATATATGTACTGATTTTCATCTGTTATCACTCCTTGCTTCTGTCCTATCCAAGTTTTAGTAGCCTGATCATACACAAAAACACCTGGTACAGGGCTATGAAATACAGTAAACTGCTTTTTTGTGTGCAACCTTGGATTACATGATAAAGATTTTTCATGCTCCCCTTTCCTTTGTCCAACAGCCCAAATTTTGCACAATCATTTATCTTATTCCATTACATCCACACATGTTCCAACACCCTCTTCTTATTTTTGGGCTCTTTTTCTTTTAGTGGCTTAAACATAACACAACTTTTTCCTTACTTTTTCAACCCTTTCATGCTACACTGATTCTTTTTTCAGCAACATTAATGGCATTTATCTTCAACAGTTTTTTTTTTATGATAAAAAATGAAATTTGACTTTTGTGTTGAACTGATTGTCTACTTTCTTCTTGCACAGGTGACTTTAACATCATCAATGGGGTCCTTCAGACGTCTTATTCTGTAATGAGGCGATATGAGTTTGAGCACAAGTCTGAGGAACTTTGGCGAGAGATAAAATTTGTTTTGGAGAATTTTGCTCAGCCACTAACAAACCTCCTTGTGGTAAGTTAATGTGAATAATAATGTTCAGTTATCTTTTTTCACGATTTTCGAGTCAGTCTCATACACTCACCTAATTTCAAAGTTAAAAATGTAACTTATGCAAGGTCATCCTTACATTTCATTAATTTTTACTTGTGTTAATTTTTTATTTGTATCGACAACTCTCGCATACAGAACGTGTCAATCTTTACCACATTTGATTTATCTGCCATGATGATACTTTCTCATAAAAAAAAATTTAATTTACAGTATCCAAAAATGTTAATATTCTTGATATACTATAGTACTGGAGCACAGTAGTCATAGCTGCATATATTGAACATTTACCTAAGTTTCCAGCCTCTAGACTTAGTGAGCAGTGCAAGGTAGACTAGTTTAGTTTTAAGCATAAACCTTGAAATGGGACTTTAGATCAGTCCTTGATTTTTTGTTTAACTATTATGTTGAATATATAGGCATAGTTATATGGTCTATAGTTACCTGTTTTCACACCTACTTCCATTGTTCATTTTATAATGGCCTGATTTAATAGAATTAAATACAAGTACAAATTGTTTAATGCATTTCCTTTACAGGAACTAATGAAGTTTGCCGGGGAAAATCTTAACAATGCAGTAGCCCTCAAGGTGATATTCTCCTCCTTGGTGTCAGTTGGAAAGCTCTTTCTGGCTCTCAACTCCCAGGATCTTCCCGAATTCTTTGAGGACAACATGGCAGTTTGGATGGAACACTTCCTTGGTCTTCTTACATTCACAAGTCCCCTGCTAGAATCACAGGAAGATGAAATTGGTGTTTTAGAACAGGTCTGTTCTTTTTCCTCATTGCTTTTCTATGGTATTTTTGGAGTAGATACTTGGTTTTATTGATTCTTTGGGTTACCATATATACTTGAGTAGTTAAAGTTTTTATGATCTGGCCAGTACTGTATAAACATAACCCATTATAGATAAATGTCCCCATCACTTCTGTTCACTTCTTTGAGTTTTCTTTGTATTCTACAAGGAATCCTTTCCATTGACTAAACTTAGCAATCTAAAAATAGGAACCAAAAAGTTGTAAGTTTAGCTAAACAAGGAATGGCAACTGCTGAAATTTACTTCTGCCTGAGAATTTTTAAACAAAGGACTGTTTTTATGGAAGATTATAAATTTCACTTTTCTAAGCTAAACTTTTTAACAAAATACATGTGATACATTCATATACAATAATCCCATCCCAGACAATATCTTAAGGTCTGTCTCTCTCCTGCAATATTAAGTTGTTGATGTACAAAGGTAGTCTTTCAGACACTCCTAATTTTACTCTCCTCATCTCCCCTATAACATCCAGTTAAGTTTCACTCAAAACCAAGACATCAAGGTTCCATTCTTTCATCAAAACTTCTTTCATTATTATTATTATCCTGATGATATTAACCATTGACAGTCTTCTTTGCTTATCTATTTGGTAACTGAAGACATGAAGATGGGGTTACCAACTCCATGCTTCCAGACTGTTTGATCTATCATTCTTGTTATGTACCTAGATTATACCGGTAATATACTTCTGTGATGTAAAATTGATATAATTTACTTTGCAGGTGAAAAGTCAAGTGTGTGAAGATATAACACTGTATGCAGCCAAGTACCGAGAAGAATTTGAACCATTTATAGAAAAATTTGTGACGGCTGTTTGGAACCTGTTATCAACAACCACTTTGGCTGTCAAGTATGATCAGGTGAGACCTTAAGTTGCACGAATGAAACAATTTTGTTTTTTGTACCATATGTTAGTACTGCTGTACTGATGCCACTACTTTTACCTTAACCCTTTTACCATACCAATTGGGAAAATCCCGAGATAGCAACTTGCACTTTGCTGTGTGTAAGTGATTTTATACTGCATATAAAAAAAAATCATAATTAATTGGCCCTGTACTGAAAAAACATGATGGTGCAAAAAACACAAAAACTCTTAGATTGATGTTTTTTGAATTACAGTAATATATTTGTTTTTCAGCTCTTGTAATAAATGATGTGCTACCACATTCGTTCATGTGTAATCATGCACATGCTTTTATGTGCCCATGTTGTGTTATTTCAGATGGTGAGTCATGCAATTCAGTTTCTCTGTGCAGTTGCTGAGCGGGACCATAGCAAAGGCCTATTTGAGAATGAGCAAGTACTTTCAGGAATCTGTGAAAAAGTTATACTTCCTAATATGCATTTGAGACGTAAGTTTTTGTTTTCTTTATTCCGTGTTTACACACATTTACCTGAATAGCATTGGGTGGCTAAAATCAAGAACAACACATATCTTCATTTCTTTGTCATTCATTTATTGTAACCGTCACAAATGTCATGCTATTCTGGATCAGCTCTCCATTTCTACTGATCTTTCATTCTGAGTTATCTGTTCTCCCAATATGTTCATACCACATTAGTAGACCTGGTAGTCCTTCAGTTTGTTTCTGCTTTCTCTTCCATATCTACTTTGCTTGGCATAGTGTGGGTTCTAAATTTGGAGTGGGCTGAAGCATGGACCTTGTCCACTGAATCCATGTACAGTATGTGTAAATTATCCATGCAAAGCAAATTTTTTTGTGAAAAAAAGTATACCTTGTGAGACTTGAGTCCATACAGTGCAAGGGAATATATTATTTAAGCATCACTTTAAACAGATGCATAAAGGTCTTTCCGAGCTCAAAGCTCAATTTGTTTTGTCTCTTATTTAGACAATGTCCTTTTGTAGCGTGTGATGAGGAATTGTTTGAAGACAGTCCAGACCAGTGGGTGGCGCAGGAGCTTGAGGGTGCAGACTCTGAGACGAGGCGAAGAGCAGCTGTTGACTTTGTTCGAGTATTGTCAAGACACTTTGAGGCCAGAATGACTCAAGTTTTTGGACAGTATGTACAGGTGTGTAAATTGATAATTCATACAACCATTCTTTTCCCCTAAGTCTTGCATTTCTTCTCTTTATATGTTGCACTATGGCTGGAATCAGATGCAAAAAATAGACTGTACTTGTTGGTATCCGTTTACACTCACTGCTGGAATATCCTCTTTGATCACTTAGAGCCATATACAGTACAATAATCATTCCTTATAATGGAATTCCTTTTAGCACAAATTGTTTGGTGTGATCAGTCAGTTTCCCACCGTGCCTCACCACACATTGTTGTGGTTCCCCAGGTTTTTTTGTATCCTTCCAGCCTGTGTGTGTGTATGCACATGTATCATTGTCATCATGACTAAAGTGAATGCTTTAGCCTTACCCCTTATAGGATTTTAGGCCAAAAATACTTATTCTCTCAGAATTAAAATGTAATGTGTCTAACTGTTAAGTACATCCAGAATAACACAAACACCAGAAATTGGCCTTAAAAAATCTTTAATTATAATGAGCTTTCAAGAACTATGTTTTGTTAATATCATTCTTTTCATTACAGTCTATGTTAGCTACATATGCTGAGAAACCTTCAGAGTGCTGGAGAAACAAAGTAGCTGCCATTTACCTGGTAACAACTCTCTCGGCTAAGGGGCACACTGCACGCCATGGTGCTACCAAGATTAACGAATTAGTCAACATTGTCGAATTTTTTCAAGGCCATATTCTTCCTGAGCTTAAGAATCAAGATGGTTAGTAGATAACGTGCACTTCTTTGTGAATAGGTATTTTACATGAAGTAACAGCGATAAGAATAACTTAGGAGGTGGGAACAGTTGGAATATCCTTTTATTTAATATTTTTAATTCTGTTTATTTTATTGATATTTTTTATTCAGCTACAGGTATTAGTATTCACTACATAAAGAGTCAGTGAGGTATAAAATTCCTATTATTTTTGTCTGGCCATAGTCATTTTACCCCTTCCTCTTCCCTACTAGACTGTCGGTTGCTGTAAAAATATCAGAGATAGTAGGGAATATACTCCTTGATACATGACTTTGATATTACACTGAAGATTGATATACTGTACAGTAGTACAAATTGTTGTAAATTCGTTTTCTATGATTTTGTAATTGGCACATGTTTGATTATTTTTGTTAGTATGTGTGTGGTAGAGCATGATGTAACTTGGTAAACACCAGGATTTGTGTGTATAGCAACACCTATGCATACCCACTTCCCCCCACCTGCATAATGAGGCAGTGAGCGTATGCATAACGAACTTGCCATACTCAGAAAATCTGTTTTCTCTAATAGAAGTGTCTTGCCTTCCCCTATTGAATGACATTACACTCGGTTGGTTCTTCGATCATAGTGTCAGGCTTAAGCTGAAATATGTAGATTATATTTTAATTTATTTTTTTAGCCTATTAATTGGAATTGTTTTACATTGCTGAAAGGATTTTCATATTTTTGGTCAAAGAAGTCAGTAAAATAAGTATCGACCACCCCAAGGTCAGTGGTATAGAAATGAGCAATAACAGTCGAATAAAGCTGGTAACCACAGGTATACGTTTACAGTTTTTGCACGATATTTCCTAGTGATACGCACGGCACAGTGGTCGATACTTTTTTATTGGTTGTATATGACACAAAGTTTTTAAATTTGATATTGCAGATGTCACTGTAAAGGCACCTTTAATTTCTCACAGTCTGCTCTCCTAGCCTTAGTGGCTGAAAGCTTTTGTACATTTTTCTGTGTTCTATTATTATATACGAGTATTATGTGCTCATCCATGCCCTCTTTTCTTTGAAAGAAACGGGCTGCTTGTGTGGTTTTAGAAGAGTAGGATAATCATTTATAAGTACTGAATAGGAAGAGTCATCATGGGAGCAGGAGTTACTAGTGGCTGCTAATATATATATATAAAATAACACACTCTTTATTCACAGTAAACCACTTACCAGTTCTGAAGGCCGAAGCAATCAAATACGTCATCAGCTTCCGGAGTGTGCTACCCTTTGATGCAGTGAAGATTTGTGTTCCAGACCTTAATCGAATCTTGACAGCACAGTCACCTGTGGTGCACACATATGCTGCTGCAGCAATTGATAAAATCTTCTTACTCCGAGTGAATAATCGCCCTGCGGTACAGAAGAGTGATGTCTCGCCAATTGCCGGATCACTGTATGCTAATCTCCTTGGGGCTATGGCAATGCAAGGGTCAGAACAGAATGAGTATGTAATGAAGACAATGATGAGGGTTACAAGCCTTATTGAAGAGGATTTGATGCAGCATGCTGGTCTTCTTGTACCACAACTTGTCATTAAACTTCAGCATGTTGCTAAGAATCCAACCAAACCCCACTATGTGCATTACCTGTTTGAAACACTCTCATTGGTTATTAAGACTGTATGCAATTCTGTGGATGGTGCTGTTGGGGAATTTGATAGAAACCTCTTTCCAATATTTCAAGAAATCTTGCAGAATGAGGTTGATAGTCTCATCCCATATGTTTTTCAGATTATATCCTTACTCTTAGAAAGGCAAAAATCTGAAGTTCCAGAAGCCTACCTCTCACTCCTACCATTTTTAGTAATGCCTGTGTTATGGGAGCGACCAGGATATGTGGCACCTATGGTCAGACTTCTTCAAGCATATATTGAAAAGGCTCATGTAAAAATTGTGCAGATGGGAAAGCTAGAAGCCATTCTTGGAGTATTCAACAAGTTAAATGCATCAAAAACAAATGATCATGAGGGATTCTATCTACTTCAGTGTATCCTTCTCCACCTGCCCAAAGAAGTCTTAGAAAATTACTGGAATCAGATCTTCACCATAATGTTCAGACGCTTAACATCAAGTAAAACAACTAAATATGTTAAATCCCTCCTTGTTTTCTTTAGTCTGTTCACCTGCCAATACTCGGCACCTCGTCTAATCCAGATAGTAGACAGTCTTCAGGCTGGTATGTTCAGCATGGTTATTGAACGTCTTATTTTACCAGATCTTCAAAAAGTGTCTGGTGATGTGGAGAAAAAGATCTGTGCAGTAGGATTAAGCAACTTATTAACAGACTCTATAATGTATACTGGAAGTTATACTGCCCAGTGGGGTATGGTATTAGAAGCTTTAATTAAACTATTTGAATGCCCTGAAGATGGTGCACTACCTGCAGGAGAACACTTCATTGAAATTGAGGATATTCCAGCTTTTCAAGGGTCCTCTGCACGATTAATGCATGCCATGCGAGGAGATATTGATCCCCTTAAAGGGCAAGTAGAGAACCCACAAATATACTTGGCCCAGCGTCTTTCCCAGCTGTCTCAAGCCCATCCAGGGACACTTCAGGCTCGATTGGGACTGATAAACCAGGATGCACAGGCACACATAGTAAAATATCTGCAAGTAGCTGGATGTAACCTTGCATGATCAAAATGCTGATTGTATACAATCAAACATTGAAGATATTACTATACAACAGCTACTAGCATCAACATAATCTTTCTATTAGTTCCTTGTAAGCCCAAGGAGAGATGTAAAGACTATTTTTTCATGTTTTTCACAATGTTAATAGATATATAACTTGCATGCTTGTTCATTTGAGTAGTTGATTTCATTAATTGTGATCATTATTCAAGATTTAATTCAAATGCAGTTTTGTGAATGAAAAGAAAAAAAAAACAAGAGAATGAGCATACCTTTAAGTACTCATGAACTTAGTCGTAGTATTGTTAAACATGTGATCATATAGTATTAAGGTCTTCATGTACATTTATAAGCCCCCAAGAAATTAGATCTTACAGTTAAGAATCTGTTGGAAAATATTATTTAGAACCTGGTGTGATATCTCATGGTATAACTTTAAGCTTATTTGCTTTTACTAAAGTGAAGTCATGGAATCTTACACTTTTTACATGAGACTTTGTTTCCCACTATGTGGGTGTTTCTGACTATTAAATTGATCAAGTCATCTCATTTTCATAGCATTTAAGTATTTAACAAATGTAATAAAAATGTCAATATATATATTTTTTTTTTCTATTTGGTTATGTCACAAAAACTCAATGTTTTATGAGGAATTCCCAAAGTGATAATGGAGTAAAGAAATGCTCTCTATTTTGCATAACTTTAGTTTTCAGTCTTCACATACACAAGGACATAGTATGATTGGTTGCAACTGTTCCTCTGACTTGTTTTGTTTTGCACTAAAAGCCATGTCATTGAATTTGTATTATATAACATGAAATGTTTTAAGTTTTCTTAAAAAGAATTGTATTAATTACTATCCTCAATGTCCAAGCAGTTAAATGGAATAACAGAGATACGTAAAAGACCTCATGAGTTTTGTCACTGCAAACATATAATTATTTACAAGTCACTTTCTTTCAGGGTCATTAACAAGTAATTTCTGAATTTCAACTTTTCATTTATATATCCATCACTGTTAACCCTTTGATGGCAACTCTTGACCATTGTCCACTGGACGGGGAAATATTAAGAAATAAAAAATAAATAAAAACATTTGAATCTTATCATAAACTCCTAATTTACATCATCAAGGTTTAGAAGTTGGAGAAATTAAAAAAAAATGCATCCAAGCCCATGTGGAAGCCTCATGGGTGGATGGCTTGGGGTAGCTACCCACCACCATATTCCTATCTTCATTGCTCAAATTCCCCAATGATTCATCAGTCACCTCTTGAGGAAAGTCACTATCTTTACTTGTATCTCTGTCACTATGCATGGGAGGGTCTCCAGAATCATATAATTATGTCAATTTCATCCTGTGTGGGAATAGGGTGGCCATTTCCAAAAAGGAGGACATTTTTTTTTTTTTTTTACAACACTTATTTTTAACCTAAATTAAACATGTTTAATGATGAGTTGAAATATAAAAAGTTGTATAAAATATACTTAGAAGTTTTGATTTGTCATATATCACTATAGTAATGTAATGAAGGCTATTTTGTGTTTTTTTTCTAAAATTTCATTTTTTTTAAATGCACTGTATATGTTACATACATGATACATGCATTCATACAGTATAAATAAAGAACTGAAAGAAATGAATATTCACTTTTACTCCTGCTGGAACAACATACTGTATGCTAACCAAATTAACTTACTGTACTTCACAAACTAAAGGAAGTAGCCTACTTACCAATGTGGCCTTCAGTCCCACTGTTTTAGTATACTTAAGGTAATTTATATAATTCTTTTTAGACAGGCCCAAAAGAGAAGGACAAATTAACATCCTGCTTGAGGTGGCGGAGGACAGAGTGCTCAAAAGCAGGACGTCTGGCCAGCCTAGTGGGTAACTATCGGAGAGTGGATGTGGTATATCCCTTACTAATGGGTGAGAGGCCCATAATTCCTCAGGGCAGTTACCAGAATTCTCTGCAAAGATGTACAGCAAATGCAAGCCATGAGAAATTTTAAACTAACCACATATGTGGTAATACAGTACATTATCCATTAGGATAGTGTCCTCGCTGTCAAAAGTATTGTATCCCTAGCCCATAAATGGCCCTTTTCAGCAGTTTCAATCAAAATATGGCATTACACTATATACACAACTATCTATCTTATTAAAAACCATTTAAGGCCCTTATTTCAACAAATATTCCAGGAAGTGTTATATCTATCAATAGCTTTTACGTGTTCCCACTTGCATTTTCCCCATGAACAGAAACTTTTTAGGATGGGAGACAAAATCAAAACCAAGGGAAGATGGACACACCTTCAAAGTAATGTTATTACAGTAAAATGAAGAGAAAAGAAAAGCTCCCAAAGTCAGATTTGCTGAGTTATAAGTAATTTTCAAAATTGCAGCTTTACTGTATATTCTCTACGATAGTAAATTTTGGCTTGTTCTAGGCTTAATCCAATGACGTCTTTTTACCTAATATAAAAAACAACTACTGTAGTTCATATGAATATATTCCTTTGAGATTAAAGTATGAAAATCAAGAGATAGCAAGATAGGCAAATGTTCTTTAACATTATGAAATGCAAGACCCTACATGTAGGATACAATAACCCTAATCACAACTACCTGTACACTGTGAATTACACTTTCCTGGATACTGTTGATAAGGAGAATGATTGAGGCGCAATAGATCACTCACGAGCCCAAGCTGTGGAATCAAAAGTATTTACAATATTGTATCTCCCAGTTAACTCATATAAGTCGATCCTAGAGGTTGGAAGTTCTCTCTGTAGTAATCCATAACTTTACATTAACAGTTTCCTACAGTCTACATTACAGCATTCAGTTTTAGTATTATGTCTGTTTATTTACCAAAAGAGAAGTGAAAAATAATCATGATCAAGACGGAAGCAGCAGCCTGGTCCGAGCCTAACACTTCTTTTTTTTATGGGAATTAGCCCACCTTGGCACAGGTCGAACGACCCACAACGGGGCCTAGGGGACGGAAAAAATAAGAACAGAAAGAAATTAAAAATAGAGAAGAAAAAAGTTATACTGTGTTAATCTACACCATGAAGATGCTGGAAAACCAGCTTTTTAAAGTGAGAAAGATTGTATAAGTATGGAAACAGAAGGCAGAGCATTCCACAGTTTGGCTGTGTGAGGAAAGAAGGATGTACTATAACAGGTTTTTCTAGTGTGACCGCCATCCACAGAGAAACGGTAAGCACCGTGGGCAAGACGTGTGTTACGAGCCCATGGCCTTGCTGGTGATACACAGGATGCCAAATCCACCGATTACCCGTTAAAGTACTTGTAAAAGAGAGAGTGAAGCAATATTGCAGCAAAGAGAAAGGGAAGAAAGATTGTCAACTAAAGAAAGAGAGGTCAAAATACCGATAAAAGAACTCACTGTTTTATTAAACTATATCAGATGAGTTATTGGTATTAAAATAAACATACTTACCTGCATCAGCTATTTTTCAATCACTTATAACGTTATAATTGTCCATAATTATGAATGAGCTTCTGTCACGAGTTTGTTTACAACATTTGGCTCTTTAACACCGACATGTGCGAGCCGTGATCCTGTTAATGTTAGTAAACTGATTTAATGGCTTTTATATTATGATAAATTGCTTCTAATAATCTAAAATATATTTAACTGGGTCATACACTATATATAAAGATGAAAGCTAAGGTGCTCCAGTTTCCTTTTTCCTGTGAGTTTTTATCAAGATTTATCTTTCCTACGTTACCATTGCTACAAGAGATAGGAAATATTTACTTTATATCATCATTATTATTACTAGGTATGGTTATGTAGGTTAGGATAGGTAAGGTAAGTTAAAAGGCATGGAAAGGCCCCTGGGAAGCATTAAGTCTATTTTTGTTAGTTTGGAGTTTGTTGACATATTTACATTTTACATGTATTAGATACTTTTGGTCATGGTCCATTAGTTATTGGGCTGTGTTATTGATGATTACATAGAGGGGGAAATGGTTTAGAGTCACAGTCTCTGGTTTACACACACACTGGCTCTGTATACAATAACAAACAGACGGCTCCGATGGTCTGTGGCACAGGTAAGTTTAGTTTAGGTAAATGTAAATACAAATAAACCCTAAATGTCAGTAATTATCGAGAGTTTTACCATGTCTCATAATTTTATAAGTGCCTGAACAGCACTACCACCAGAATATTTATGGTAAAAACTAATTTCTTCTCTTACAAAGCCGTAGAAACATGAGATTACTGCCATGTGATCAGTATGCACCGTGCATATTTCGTTATATACTTATTTTTCATTAGGTAGGTGGTTAACATGTACCCTTGTCCTTAACTAGTACTACTTTATACATAAACATTCAGTATAATTGTTATAAAGATTCACATTGGCGAAGCATAGATTCAACCAAGGATAATTCAAGAACACCGTTAAAAGTTTATTTTCATTCGGGTACGTTATATCGTACTGAACAAAAATGCATTGACTACACCTCTCAGTTTTTATTTGCAAAGACGGTAATACCGTGGATACTACTGGGTGAGAGTCTCACAGTACAGTAACCATGAACATGATATATATATAATATATATGTATATATATAATATATATATATATATATATATATATATATATATATATATATATATATATATATATATATATATATATATATATATATTTATCTTGGCATTTCTTGGCATATAAGTTGACTGCATCCCTTTGATCATCCGACGTCACATTCTTCGATAGTCATGTATCACAGTCAGCTTATTCGGCGACTTTGTGATACGTGACTTTCGAAGGACATGACGTCAGATGATCAAAGGAATGCCGCCTGGGTCACTGACCGTGCTAATCGCCCGTTTTTGGAGGTCCACTAATCCTGTGTGAGTGAGTTCAGCTTTTAATATAAGCTCGGACTTCATTCCATAGCTCCAGTACCATTTCAGCCCCTGTGAAGTTCAGTACTTGTAGTGCAATGTTTGTGTGACGGAATAACAGACTTACGTAAGGAGATGCAACCATTTTAAAGCCCTGCATTACATTTCACGATTTCACTTCACTTTCCTACAAGATTTACATAATCTCTTTTTGTAATCGTAGATAAAGCTAAAATGCATGGTATATATACTAATAGGTTATGAATTATCTCTTGAATTGGGTGCAAGTAATCATATGTATGACTTATCTCATGAGTTGGGTACGAGTTATTGTAGGTACGAGTTGGCATGGGTACGAGTTATTGTAGGTACAAGTTGGCATGGGTACGAGTTAACTTTATTGGGTACGATTTATCTTGGGTACGAGTTGTCTTGGGTGCGAGATGACCCAATATGGAGGACTTCACAGCCGCTTCCCCTTGTCTCAGTAAAAATATGTTCACCCACAGCAGGTGTTAAGTTATGCTAGGTTAGGTTAAATTAAGTCAGGTTAAGTTGAGTTAGTTAGGTTAGTTTTGGTTTGGTTTGGTTAAGGTTAGGTTAAGTTTAGGTTAGTTTAAGGTTAGGTTAGGATAACTTAAAATTTTAAATACACCCTTTAACACATTTTCCATAACTATGACAGTGTACACTCTAAAACACAGTGAAATTTTGGCATTTTTAAATTCGTTTATTATGAAAAATTAGCTGCTGTGAAATCGTAAATAATTATCTTTTTTTGTCGAACATAAATGCTTTTCCTCGATGAAAATTGCATAAAGCGATAACGATTTTCAATACTGTATGCATAATACGGTACAGTAATAATAATTTGCATTCATCTGTGTAGATCACTTTGGTTGTCCTGACCTAACCTAACTGGAGGAGCTCTCAGACCGTGTATACAGTAATTTGAGAGATATTGCACATCCATATTAGCTGTACCTGTACAGTACTGTAGTAAGCAAGAAGAGCTCCCAGACCACTGCACCAGGACACAGTGGTGAGAGGCAAGTGTGCTACCACTGTACCACCAGCACCCCTGTTGAAGACAACTTCTTCCTTACCACAAGACAAATCCAAAAATTAGTTGAAATTTTAATTATTTTTTTCCTTAGTGATTGTTATAAATTACCCGGTATGCTATTAGTCATTTCGGTATTCGTCCCTATTTTTTAGGATATATCCCTGAAAGATAGTATGGACCTCTGTATTCCATATCCCTCTTAATTTTAGTGTTCTTCATACTGATTTTAAAATTGATTACAGTTTTAGTGTTTCCTACTGTACATGATGGGTAGTTTATTCACCTATAGTATTTATCAGTCTGTACCATAAAATTTATGTTTTCTGATATCCAGGTTTGAGGATCCACACTTTCAGTTGTTTCTTTTATAGGATTTCAGTTTATATGGATATTGAGGTTAGGAATTTCAGAAAATTGCTGACTTGTGATGAATTATGGAAGTTTTGCTGAATAGATTTGCTTACTGGTAATGAGTTACAATATGTACCATATACTGCATAATGTTTTGGGTAATGTTCCGTAATGCTAAGAATGTCTATTAATTTATTATCCTTTAAATATGGAATGACTTTTAATTTCAGATGAAAAGTTGAAGAAGCAGTTCACTGGACATCATGTTGCGTTTATTGTCATTAAGGATCTGTGAACTGTGCACAAAGACATCACCTCGGCTAACTATTAATAGATGCACTTCCACGACTATTCTTGGCCACCTCCAAAGGCTTGATGCAGTAGTTCCCTCTCAGTGTGATTTATCACTACAGTTTTTGAGGGAGTACTCTAACTGTAGGTTAAGTACATATTGTGTGACAAGGAATAGTGATAAGAATGATGATGTAAATTATTCTCAAGATCCAGAGGTCAGAGATTGGCTGAGGGAGATGCAAAATGACTTTTCAAAAGAACATAAGAATATAGAAGATAAAGATGTCATGAATGAAAAGCAGATTGAGGCTATTGAATACAAGGAGAATCAAAAGAAAAGTGGAAGTAAAGAACAGATGACAAAAACTCATCCAACCACACAGGATGATGATGGTGCTGTGGAGGCTGAAGGTCTCTTACAAGCCAGACCTCCAAATAATAGTAAGTATGAATTATAAAAACATTAATTATGTGTTAACATAGTACTGTACATGTGTATTAAAGGGCACATACTTTTTTTTTCATGAAAATTATACAGTATACTGGATGCCATTATAAATATGATTTTCATTTCACTGTATAAACCCTTGGCATTTCAGCTTGGGCCCATAATATTTCTCAGAAGTACAAGAAGTTTGATTCAAGCTCATCAGAAATAATATATGATTATAATGAGGAACAACTTCGAAGGGAGGAAGAGATGGTTCGACAGCAAGAGGAGGAAGAAGAGGAGGAGGAGATTGTTTTGAAACGTAGGTGACAACACTAGTGCTCAGTACTTCAAAGTAATGTATACTAATTTATTCAAGTTTTTATCTTGTTTTGTTTATTGTACCTTTATTATCTTGTTCTTGATCCTATTTGTACTAAGTGTATTTACCTATTAAGAGTGTTTAAGGGAAAATATAGGTACCAACTTGAATCTGACTGGTTCTGTGAATATTCTTTCATTTTCTGATCCACTTGTATTGAATAAGTACCTTTATATGACTTCCTATGGCATGTGTGCATGTACACATAACTACCTCTACATCATTTTCAGGTGGTGAGACAGGTGTGTTTGATGTAGAAGAACTGGTAGACCTCCTAAGAGAAGAGAATGCTAAAGATATTGCAGTTATCCAGGTATTTATTTATTTTTAATAGAATGCATTTCTTATGGTTGGCTGTTAATGAGTGTTGAAATTTGGGGTTTCGAGGAATTTTTCAGGAATACCTGTATGGGTAAAAAATTTGCTAATAAATCTCACCTGTATGCAGAATTATGGATGTAATCTTGAATCTCAAGGACATTGAAGTAGACTTGTGTATACCTCAGTACTGTACAGTAGTCTGCAAAGTATTTATTATAAACTAATTCAAACTGTGCAGTTAGAAATTTCTGTCCTTGTTAATTTAGAAATGGCAACTCCCTTGATGGGGTTAACAAATCTGATTGAGGAATTGCTTGAGTAGCAAGCTACACTGCTCACAACTTGTTTCTTGTCTTTGGTAGCTGCAGCCACAGCTTTTAATACAGTACCTCATTGTAAGAGCTATGGATGCTCTAGGGAAGTGGTCTAACATTTTGATTTGATCCCACTCATGTTTGTTTAGGGTTTCTTAGGCCAAAGCTAAAGGTATTCACAGCACATTACAGTATACACCAGTTGTTCTTCTCTTGCTCAGACATATGTAAACCCTCTTTTTTTTTATCTCTTCCAGGTTCCTCAAGAACTAAGATATGTTGACCACATGGTTATTGTTTCCAGCCATTCTCAAAGACATATCTGTGCTCTGGCTGAGCTCATTCGTCAAATTTACAAGAAAAAGAAGCACAAACATGACCCATCAGTGAATTTGGAAGGCAAAGGAACAGATTGGGTTGCACTGGATATTGGTAAGGCTCCTAGAGTTTTGGAAAGGTAACAAAACTTTATACACTCATTCTCAGACAGCAGTGTAATGTAAAATTTAATATTTTCACATCTCTGGCTCTTTTTGTTTATTTAAACTTTTACCAAACCTGACTGGCCTCCATACTTCTGCTGGAAGTGGTCATTTATCCTCTTGTCAAACAAAATCCACATCTGTTCTACAGTACAGTATCTGCTTTTACCTGTGCCATAATCCATCATATTTTAAATTATAGTCTTCTTACTGTAGACACACCTAAGTTGTAAATCTTAACTTTTTGTTTTACCCTACTGCTAAATCTGAAGCAGAATGGTTGAGACATTGGAAACTGTTATGACTCCCTTCCTCCTCCAACCAAAGTCAAACAAAAAAAGTCAACTAATGTTAATGGCAGACATCATTTACACCCCTGCTGGTGGTTTCATATCCCTGAAAGGAATTTCCAGTTTTCATTTCAAGTGAATTTGGCAAATGTTCAGAAACCTCTTGACCAATCAAAGGCCAGGAAAGATCAGTGAGCTGTCAAACTACGAACTCTTAGTAGAGGTATTTAGTTCTTTTGAACCATGTGTTGTAGTTTCCATTAGAACTTCATGTGAATTATTTATCTAGTTGCAATAAAAATTGTCTGTAACAATTTGGAGTGATGAATGAAGGGACCATTGGAAAACTGTACAGTAGATATCCAAAACAGCCACTTGTAGACTAGAGTAGCTGCATTATGCCACTTGATATTTGTTTCACATTTGGATTAAATCTGAGGAGTAGTTGTCCAAAACACAAACTGCAGAAAAAAAGGGGGGAGGGGAATTATATAACTTCAAGGTAAACCAGCTTACATGGAGTACTGTACTTACTTCACTGCATATAGTATTCATTAAAAATATCTTTGTTCCTCTTTACAGGTAATATCGCCTTGCACATCATGACCTCTGAAATGAGGGAAGATTATGACTTGGAAACTCTGTGGACTGTTGGGTCACAATATGATGACAAATGCCAACAGCAAGAAGAGAACTTCATGGATATGTATAATTTATCTAATCCTCTGGCTGGGTTTACATCATCATCAACGTCTTTTAACAATAAATCACTTGAATAAATATAAATTATTTCTCTAGAAAATTGCTAAAGTTATGTTTTAAAACTCAGATAGTGGATTGGTCAACTCCTATTGTGTCAATAAGTCGTCAGTTGATATCCCAGGGTTCCTGGTGATGCTAGTAATACAAGTGTTCAGTTATCTTCCCCAAATTGCATTCAAGTGTCACATGTTGAGTAAGACTGATGCCACCCATGCCTTTTGTATTTGAGTATTGGAACTGATAAAAGCCATGTTTTCTGCATTTAAGATATACTGTACTTTTCTCCAAGACTCGCCCTGCATCTTACATGATGAAAGTTAACCCTAAGGGGATGTGGCTGCCAATATTGTACAGGACTACTGTAAAACCAAGACTTCCTCATTTGACACAGTGACTCCCAGATGACCCCAGAATGAAATACCTGCATATATCATAAATTATTAATGAAAAAAAAAGAAAATAATTTTTAAAAGTTAATTTAGGAATTGCTAACGTCATCACTTCAGGATGCAGGCCGTCCAGTGACATTCCTGTGGATACCAAGTCATGTCAGTATCTTAGGAAATGAGACAGCAGATAGACTTGCCAACACCAGTTCTAACAAGGTTACACTGGATTATGTTGTCCCTCAAACAATTTGACAACTTAGAACACAAATTCGTCATAAACAGAGAGAGGCTCGGGAAGCAGCAATTCCTCTGGACCACCCGCCCACCTGGTATGATGTCCTCCGTAAACTTCCTGACTTCTTGGACGTGTATGGGAAAGGGTCACGGAAGAGGGACGTGATTGCTGCCCAACTCGTCATCGGGTACGTTTTTGCTTGGGAGATTGGTATCCCCACCTCCCCCGAGTGTGTATTATGCAAGAGAGCAGACAGCCACACACTCATCCATTACATCCTGAGATGTCCCCACACACAACACTTCCGTGACGCCTGCTGGACCACCACTCTACGACCTACTGACGGATGCATGGTGCTTATCACCTGTGTGCTGGCCAAATAATTTTATAATAATATTGATTTATTTTGAAGGAATATCCTTCCTTCCTTAGGCTTTAGTAAACCCCTTTGTATTAAAATATTTAATTTATATGTACAGTACTTGAGATTCCTGCCAGATGCTTCTGGTAACATTGTACAGGAATACCTAGTGACAGTACTAGGATCTTATTTCCTATAGTATGGAATAAATTGTTGAAATTGTAAAAAAAGGAATTTTACCAACTCCTGGGTAAGTTAATATTCACTGGCTGTTCTCTCACATACCACTCAGGCTTCATGTGATAGCATATGTTGACCACAACTTTAGCTGTAAATATTCATTTCAGATGCTTCACAGGACTACGATTTTGGCTTTATCTTTTTTCTTGTGCCCTCATCTTTTGTAGGTGATAATTTTTCTGTATGTACAGTATATATCATTTTATATGAAATAAAATAAATCCTGTAAATTATATCGTTCAGGTACACTTAAGTCTTGGAGCCAAGTCCAGTTGAATTATTGTACACTTTCTTGTATGTGGATAAATTTACTTATAGTTAATATAATTATCATAAATTATTAGACAAATTAGGATTAATCACAGAACTATAGCCCCGTTTGTTGGTTCAGGGGTTTGGTAGTGGGTTCATACTTGTCGTCGCGGGTACACAGGGATCAGAGGAGTCGGTATAGTGTTTGAACTAATGATGTTCATGGAGACGAGAGGAATTGAATTAACAGTGACAAAAGGAATTGACACTGCTATGTGAAGGTGACAGGAGTAGCTGGCAGTGGCAGGAAGAGCTGGCATTGACAGGTGTAGCTGTCAGTGACAGGAAGAGCTGGCAGTGACAGGAAGAACTGGCAGTGACAAGAAGTGCTGGCAGTGATAGGAAGAGCTGGCAGTGACAGATGAAGGTGACAAATGTAGGTGACTATGATAGAAGCTGAAAGTTAGCAGAAGAAAATGACAAGGTGGGTCATGAGGTTATGTCAGGACTACTGGGTGGAGCTGATGTCTTCGCTGTCAGCTTCTGCTTGATGTCACTGTATAGTACAGATAAGTTACAGCTAATTACTGTAACTTTTACCTTATTTACCTGTGTGTATCACGATGTTGTTTACTCTATATATCTATCCTTTCATCTATCTATCTATCCATTCATCCATCTATCTATCTATCTATATGGGAGTGTTTTGTGGTGTAAGGAAGTGTTTTATGGTGTATGGGAGTGTTTTGTGGTGTATGGGAGTGTTTTGTGGTGTTATAGGAGAGGTTTGTGGTGTATGGGAGTGTTTTGTGGTGTTATAGGAGAGTTTTGTGGTGTTATAGGAGTGTTTTGTGGTGTATGGGAGTGTTTTGTGGTGTTATAGGAGAGCTTTGTGGTGTATGGGAGTGTTTTGTGGTGTATGGGAGTGTTTTGTGGTGTTATAGGAGAGGTTTGTGGTGTATGGGAGTGTTTTGTGGTGTTATAGGAGAGGTTTGTGGTGTATGGGAGTGTTTTGTGGTGTTATAGGAGAGGTTTGTGGTGTATGGGAGTTGTGGTGTATGTAGGTTTGTGGTGTGTTATAGGAGAGTTTGTGGTGTTATAGGAGAGTGTTTCTGTGGTGTATCAGAATGTTTTTGTGGTGTAAGGGAGCATGGTGGTGTTATAGGAGTGTTTTGTGGTGTTAAGGGAGGTTTTGTGGTGTATGGGAGGTTTTTAAAATATAGGAGTGTTTTGTGGGTGTTACGGAGTGTTTTGTGGTGGCGGCGATAAGTTTTTAGGTGTAAGGGAGGTTTTTAGGTGTTATAGAGAGTTTTGTGTGTTAATGTGTTTGTGTGTATGAGGCTTTGTGGTATAGGAGAGAGTTTTGAAGAGAGAGAGTTTTGTAGGCAGGGAGTGTTTTGTGGTAAGAGAGAGAGCTTCTAGGTAAGCAGGGAGTTTTGTGTGGGGAGTGTTTTAGGTGTTATAGGAGAGTTTTGTTTTAATGAGTGTTTTATTCGGGTATGGGAGCAGGCTTTTGTGGTGTTACAGAGAGCTTTGTGGTGTTATAGGAGAGCTGTGGTGTAGGGGAGTGTTTTGTGTTACAGGAGTCAGGTGTTGGTGGGAGTTTTGTGGTGTAAGGGAGGTTTTGTAAAGAGTAGGAGAGTTTTGTGGTGTTATAGGAGAGTTTGTGGTCGCGCACGGGAGTGTTTTGTCGGTGGGAGTGTTTATGGTGTGGAGGTTTTTGGTACATAGGAGAGCTTTAGGTGTATGGATGTGTTTCGTGGTGTTACGGGGAGGTTTTGTGGTGCATCAATGCTCTTGTGGTGTATCATATTGCTTCAGGTGTGGGGAGTTTTGTAGGTGTTATAGGAGTGTTTTGTGTGTTATAGAGAGTTTTGTGTATGGATGTGTTTCTGTGGTGTTACGGGAGTGTTTTGGTGGTGTTATAGGGAGTGTTTTGTGGTGTATCACGTTTGTGTGTATCAATGTTTAGGTGTATGGAGTTTTGTGTGTTATAGGAGTATTTTGTGATGTATGGGGAGGTTTTGTGGTGTTACGAGTGTCGGTGGTGTTTGGGAGTGTTTTGTGGTGTTATAGGAGTGTTTTGTGTTATAGGAGAGTTTTCTGGTGTTACGGTAGTGTTTTGTGGTGTTACGGGAGTGTTTTGTGGTGTATCAGAATGTTTTGTGGTGTATGGGAGTGTTTTGTGGTGTTATAGGTGAGTTTTGTGGTGTTACGGGAGTGTTTTGTTGTGTTATCAGAGTATTTTGTGGTGTTATAGGAGTGTTTTGTGTTATAGGAGAGTTTTCTGGTGTTACGGTAGTGTTTTGTGGTGTATGGAAGTGTTTTATGGTGCTATAGGAGTGTTTTCTGGTGTATCGAGAGCTTTTTTTGTATTATGCTAGTCTTTTGTGGTGTATCAGATTGTTTTGTGGTATTTTGAGAGTGTTTTGTGTTGATATAGGAGTGGTTTGTGGTGTTACAGGAGTGTTTTGTGATTTATCGGAGTGTTTTGTGGTATTATGGGAGTGTTTTGCGGTTTATCGGAGTGTTTTGTGGTGTTTGGGTGTATTTTTTGGTGTTATTGGAGTGTTTTGAGGTGTATCGGAGAGCTTTTTGGTATTATAGGAGTATTTTGTGGTGTATGGGAGTATTTCCTGCCACACCTAGGGTCACTGCCGCCCCTGGGGGTGCGTCCGAAACTGGGATGACCCCTGGGGGCGACATCACCCCTGGCTGGGCCAATAGGGTGGCAGTTGCCCCTGGGAGGGCCCCGAGAGACACCAACGCCCCTGAAAAGGCCCCTGCGGGCGTCACTGCCCCTGCGGAGCCACCACCCCTGACAGGGACCCTGGAGCGTCCCCGCCCTTGGAAAAAACCCTGGGGGTGCCTCTGCTACTGAGAGGGCCCCTGGGGACATCGCCGCCTGGAAGGTCCCCTGGGGGCGCTCCCACACCTGGGACGACCCCTGGGGGTGCTATCGCCTCTGGCACCCTAAAGAGAGCCGCTGGGGGCGTCTCTGCTCTTGTGAGGATCCCTAGGGGAAAATCCCTGGCGGCGTTGCCGCCCCTGGGGGCGCCACTGCCACTGGGAGGGCCTCTGGGGGCGGCTCTGCCACTGGGAAAGCCCCTGGGGATGCCGGCGCCACTAGGTGGGCCTCTAGGGGAGCCACCGCCCTTGCAAGGGATCCTAGGAGTGCCGCCGCCCCAGGAAAACCCCTGGCGGCGTCTCCGCTCCTGGGAGGGCCCCTGGGGGCGCCGTCGCCTCAGAGCGGGAGCCAGGGGGGGCTGCTGCCCCTAAGGAAAGCCCCTGTGGGCGCCGTCACCTCTGGGTGCTCCACCGCCCCTGGGAGGTCCCCTGGGGGTGCCACTGCCTCTGGGAGGGATCATAGGGGCGCTGCCGACCTTTGGAGGAGCCTTGGGAGGCCCCCTGGTGGCGCCATCTCCGCTGGAAGGGCCCCTGGGGGTAACAACTCCACTAGGAGGGCCTCTGGGGGCTTCTACACAAGTAACCGGGCCACTGGGGGCGCAGCTGCACTTGGAAGGGACCCCTAGGGGCGCTGCCGTCCCTGTGAGAAACCCCGGCGGCGCCACCACTACTGTGTTGGCCCATGAGGTCGTCATAGCCCCTGGGAGGGCTCCTGCGGGCACTGTTGCTCCTGGAAGGACCCCTGGGAACGTCGCAACCCCTGGGATGGACCCTGGGAGCGCCACTTTCCTTGGGAGGGCCCCTAGGGGCGCCACCGATCCTGAAAGAGCCCCTGTAGGCGCTACTGCCCCTGGAGGGCCCCAGGGTGTGCTTCCGCCCCTGTAAGGGCATTTCCGGGCACTAGCGGTGCTGTCAGAGCCCCTGAGGGATCACCACAATACCTGGCAGGGCCCCTAGGAGCACCGCCACCCTAAGGATGGCCGCTGGGGGCGCCCCGACATCTGGGAGGGCCCTAGACGGCGCCGCCACCCATGGCAGGGCACATGGGGGTGCCGCCGCCCTTGGCAGCGCCCCTAGGGGGCGCCGTCAACCCTAAAGAGGGCCGCTGAGGGCGCCTTCGTCCTTGCGAGGGCCTCTAAGGGCGCCGCCGTCCATGAAAAAGTCCCTGATGGTACCGCCGCCCCTGAGAGCTCCCCTAATGGTGCCAGCGCCACTGGGAGGGCCCCTGGGGCGGCAGCGACCACAGGGTACCTCTGGAAGGGTGCGGGCGCCCCCGGGCCCCTTCACAAGAGCAGCTGCGCCCCAAGGGGCCTTCTTAGGGGTGGTGTGACCCCAAGAGCCCTGCCATGTGTAGTGGCTCCACCAGGAGCTCTCCCTGAGACGGTGGCGCACCCAGGGGCCCTCCCATAGGCAAAGGTGCCCCACTGGGCCGACCTTAAGGGTTAGGGTGACCACAGTGGCTGTGCAAGGGGCATTGGTGCCCATAGGAGCACTCCCAGGGGCCGCGACACCCCTTGGGGCTCACCCAAAGGTGGCGGCTTCCCTAGGGGACCCTTCCAAGGGCAGAAGCGCCCCCAGAGGCCCTGCCAGGTGTCGTGGGTCCCGCAAAGGACCTTCCAGGGGCTTCAGCACCCCATGGGGCCCTCCCAGAAGCGCCCCCTCCCAGGATCCCCATAGCTTGCTATCGTGGTGTCCTACATATTGCATACATCCAGCAATCCCTTACTTAACTGTGATTGGTGGACTAAAATATAAATCCACCAAATTACAGCCAATAGGAGAACAGAGCAGTCAGTCAGCACAACACCCCAACTTATGTTTTCCTGTTGGATATGTATTCTCCTTTACATTGTTCATGATCTGGAGATACTGGAAATGCTATGGGCGGTGTATTTATTTAACGCCATATCTCCCATTGTTCTACCTTTTTGAGCTTAACTGTGATTGAACCACATCCTGTTGATATGTATTTTGTTCATTTTACATGTCTAATTAAAATAAATCCACCAAACCATGTTTCACAGAGAACAGAGTACAGTCATTGTAAAGGTCAACACCCCAACTGGTGTTTTCCTGTTGATGTATTCTTCTTTGTTATTGTTCAAGATCTGCAGATACTGGAAATACTATAGTGTATTTATTTAAACGCCACATCTCCATTAATTTAAATAAAACAATCAAGGTTCCTCATATACAGGGCATCCTAGGACCCTCACATTTCCCCTACGAGGTGCGGCGCCCCCTGCGGGCGGTGCAGCTCTGGGGAGTGCCCCTGGGGGCGCTAAAGCCGCTGGCACAGCCCCTGGGGTCACCCTCACCCTTAAGGTCAGCCTCTGGGGACGCCGTTGCTTATGGGAAGGCACCTGGGTGCGCCACCGCCTCTGGGAGAGCTCCTCGTGGATCCACCACACCTGGCAGGGCTCTTGTGGCCCCTGCCACCCACAAGTGGGGCCCCTTGGGGTGCAGCCGCCCCTGGAAGGTCCCTTGGGGGCGCCACCGCCCATGGCAGGATCCCTAAGGGCATCTATGCCCTTGGAAGGGCCCCTAGAAGAGCCACCACCTCTGGGAGGGCCCCAGAAGGCGCTAACGCCTATGGCAGTGCCCCTGGGGGCGCTGCTGCACTTTGGGAGGCCCCTGTGGTCACTTCGGCCCATGGGAGTGCCCCTGATGGCACCAACGCGCCTGGCACGGCCCCTTGGGTCCCCCTCACCCTTAAAGTCGGCCCCTTTGGGAGTCGCTGACTATTTAAGGGCCCCTGAGTATGCCACCGTCTCTCGGAGAGCTCCTGGTGGAGCCACCATACCTTGCATGGGTCTTGGTGTCGCCGCAACCCTAAGAAGGGCCCCTTCGGACGCGGCCACCCCTGCAAGGGTCCCCGGGATCGCCTTCGCCCCCCTAGGGGTCCCCTGGGTTCGCCACCATCCTTAGGGGCTCTGACACCCCTGGGAGAGCCCCTGGGGGCGTTGCACCTGGTAGGGCAAATGGGAGGGTACCAGGGTGCACTGTCCCTGGAGGCGCCTCGGGGCAGTTTTATATGCACTATTTAGAACAATGGGAGGTATGGCATTAAATAAATAAATACATCGCCCATAGCATTTCCATTTATAATTGGATCATGAACAATGTAAAGGAGAATACATATCCAACAGGAATACATAAGTTGGGGTGTTGTGCTGAGTGAATGCTCTGTTCTCCTATTGGCTGTAATTTAGTGGATTTACATTTTAGTCCACCAATCACAGTTAAGTAAGGGAATGATGGACGAATGCAATATGTACAACACCACGACAGCATGCTATAGGTCTCCTTGGAGGGGATGCGACTAGGAGGGCCCCAGGGGGTGGCGACCACCCTGGAAGGTCCCTTGGGGGCGCCACCACCCCTGGCAGGGTCCCTGGGAGCGCCATCCCACCAGTCAAGACTCTTGGGGTCGCCGCCACCCATTAGAAGGGCCCCTTCCGGCGCGGCCACCCCTGGAAGGGTCTCTGGGATCGCCTTCGCCCCCCTAGGGGTCCCCTGTGGTCGCTGCGGCCTCTGGGAGTGCCCTGGGGGCGCCAACGCCCCTGGCACGGTCCCTAGGGTCACCCTCATCCTTAAGGTCGGCCCCTGGGGGCGCCGTTGCTTATGGGAGGGCACCTGGTGCAACCACCACACCTGGCGTGGCTCTTGTGGTCCATGCCACCCCAAAGAAGGGCCCCTTGGGGCGCAGCCCCCCCTGTGATGGCACCCGGGGGCGCCATCGCCCCCCTAGAGCTCCTTTGTGTTGGCTGCCGCCCCTGGGAAGGTCCCTCGGGGCGCCACTGGTCCTGGGAAGTCTCCTGGGGACCCCGCCATCCTTGGGAGGGCCCCTGGGGTCGCCGCCATCCCTAGGGGCTCTGACACCCCTGGGAGAGCCCCTGGGGGCGTTGCTCCTGGTAGGGCAAATGGGAGGGTACCAGGGTGCACTGTCCCTGTAGGGCGCTTGGGGGCAGTTGTTTTTGCACTATTTAGAACAATGGGAGATATGGCGTTAAATAAATACACCGCCCATAGCATTTTCAGTATCATCGGATCATGAACAAATGTAAAGGAGAATGCATATCCAACAGGAAAACATAAGTTGGGGTGTTGTGCTGACTGACTGCTCTGTTCTCCTATTGGCTGTAATTTGGTGGATATATATTTTAGTCCACCAATCACAATTAAGTAAGGGATTGCTGGATGTATGCAATATGTAGGACAGCACGATAGCAAGCTATAGGGCTCTGAAGGCAGTTGTTTATGCACTATTTAGAACAATGGGAGATATGGCGTCAAATAAATACACCGCCCATAGCATTTCCAGTATCACCAGATCATGAACAATGTAAAGGAGAATACATATCCAACAGGAAAACATAAGTTGGGGTGTTGTGCAGACTGGCTGCTCTGTTCTCCTATTGGCTGTAATTTGGTGGATTTATATTTTAGTCCACCAATCACAGTTAAGTAAGGGATTGCTGGATGTATACAATATGTAGGACACCACGATAGCAAGCTATAGGGCTCTGGAGGCAGTTGTTTTTGCACTATTTAGAACAATGGGAGATATGGCGTTAAATAAATACACCGCCCATAGCATTTCCAGTATCTCCAGATCATGAACAATGTAAATGAGAATACATATCCAACAGGAAAACATAAGTTGGGGTGTTGTGCTGACTGACTGCTCTGTTCTCCTATTGGCTGTAATTTGGTGGATTTATATTTTAGTCCACCAATCACAATTAAGTAAGGGATTGCTGGATGTATGCAATATGTAGGACAGCACGATAGCAAGCTATAGGGCTCTGAAGGCAGTTGTTTATGCACTATTTAGAACAATGGGAGATATGGCGTCAAATAAATACACCGCCCATAGCATTTCCAGTATCACCAGATCATGAACAATGTAAAGGAGAATACATATCCAACAGGAAAACATAAGTTGGGGTGTTGTGCTGACTGACTGCTCTGTTCTCCTATTGGCTGTAATTTGGTGGATTTATATTTTAGTCCACCAATCACAGTTAAGTAAGGGATTGCTGGATGTATGCAATATGTAGGACACCACGATAGCAAGCTATAGGGCTCTGGAGGCAGTTGTTTTTGCACTATTTAGAACAATGGGAGATATGGCGTTAAATAAATACACCGCCCATAGCATTTCCAGTATCTCCAGATCATGAACAATGTAAAGGAGAATACATATCCAACAGGAAAACATAAGTTGGGGTGTTGTGCTGACTGACTGCTCTGTTCTCCTATTGGCTGTAATTTGGTGGATTTATATTTTAGTCCACCAATCACAGTTAAGTAAGGGATTGCTGGATGTATGCAATATGTAGGACACCACGATAGCAAGCTATAGGGCT